GTTGGGCAGCACAAAAGTGCAATCTGATATTCCTGTGAGGGAAAGTTAGTGCAGTGCACAACACAACACAGCTGTGCTTCTTTGAGGTGTTTACCAAATGACCCAAAGAGTGACTTCAGCATAGAAGGGTTAAGGACAATTTTGCATACATGTACAGTCAATAAGGGTTGTTGTCAGAGAATAACACACACCTCCTGTGGCAATGCTGATACCAATGTAAGTGTATGCACGTACAGTACCATACATACCTTGTACCGATAAATGTACTGCTCATCACAGTCTATTCAGTCAACACAACAACCACTCAAAGTGAATTGGTCTGGTTTACATGTACATGCTTACACAAGCACATACCAAGTATCAATGTATCTAATAGTCTCTCCCTACTTGTTATAGTGCTAGTACCCCTCCCCCGGTACCTGGCCTTGTAAGAGTGCAGAAGGCTTAAGCTCACCTCCAAAATTCCTGTTTTTAATTTCTTCAGAACTGGACTGATGTATTAGGCCTATTGACAATTGATTATAAAACAAAACATACATGCATGCCAGCATGAACAGCTCACCTTGAAGTTACTGCAGTTGACCCATGATACAAGACCATCCACAAGACGATCAAAGTTCTCACATACTAACAAGCTGTCCTCATCTGACAAGTACATCTGAAAATCATGAGAAGCTTGGAGCCTAGACTGTGTGTCTTGCTTCAAGATTTGCGTGACAATATCATCAAGTGTTTTGTCAGCCATTGTGAAGCCTCCACTTGCGCACTAAAAAGTTTCAAGTTTGCTAGTTCAAAAAATCCAAGATTGGTTGTTACTGGTGGCAGCACTGAGTTTACTTGGTTGATGCCATGTTGAAACAATGTCTCATTCACATCTGAAAGAAATAAAGAAAACTAGTCAAAATGATGTACATGTATGTGAATCAAAAAACAGTGACGTTATACTCACAGCTTGAGTAAATATGACAACCACTGCATTTAAATAATCTCACCACTGACCATAACAGTTAACAAAAACACTGAGTTACATGTACAGAAGTACACTGGACTACAATAATATCTCAGATACTGTTGTCTTTAGACAGAAACATGATCTGTCTGTCTGCAGTGCATCATGCGATTCATACATACAATGCCTTGGCGATGATTGGCAATTTGGATTGGCCAAGGTTGTACAAGTTTACCAAGTGACATCCCAACACTCTAGGAATGCTGATCACCTTCCAATGTCATTACAATTATTATACACAAGTCAGATTAGCAATTCTTTTTCTCAAATTTCAGTCACGAACAAAAAAAATTCAATTCAGCCATGTTTACAGCTACGTACACAATCAAGCATCTTGTGCTGAAGATGAATAAGCTACTGTGGTAATGGCAGGGGTCAAACTGTTTCACAGGTGAAATTCTGTCGGTGGTAAGAGGGCAGTTGTATCACATGCATGAGCTACCCATAGGTGTACAATAGGTACCACACATGTGTAGCAAATTTAACAATTACCAGTAACTTGGAACCAGAACTATCACGTTCTAGGACTTCACAAAAAAGTTTTTTTCATTTAATGAGCATTTAAAGGTAGATTTGCTTTTTGCTCCTGTCTTACAAAATTGCACCAATGCACAGTGCGCAAGAAAACCAGTGTGCATGGACATCGTTCCTTTATTAAAAGTAGGCACCAACATGTATAACTTATTTTTACATTTACAAATGAAGGCTGCTATTCTGAGCGAACAATCTTGAATATGAACAATTTAACTTACAGGTTCCACCTCAGCAAATATGATGCTCAGCATCCTCTGCACTTGAAGACCAAATGGACATGAATGCACATACATGTACATGTAAATCAACCCAAATACTGGTACACGGTGTGCAGATCCCCAAGGAAAAAATACCGCAAATGCACTGTTGACAAGACAAGTCCTAGAACTCAACATCCAGTGCCTTACAATTTACAAAGTCTGCTGCTCATTTGACAATTCCCATAAGAATTGAAATCGTCGTGAGAAACTACCTATTGGTACAAAAGCAACAGTTGACACTACCGTACCAAGTACTGTACATTGTACCAATGGAATTGAAGTTATTGGGCACAATGTAGGTGTGGATTTCTTAGTGTCATTGTGCATCACTGCACAAGATGAATAGTAAATTGAAGTGGGAGAATTGAGGTACCAGGCCATGAGAAAAAAGTTAAAATCAAGGCTACACTCTGCTACAAGGGCAGACTTGGGAATATACATGTACCAGTACATGTACATCTGTACATATACATGTACATGTACATTGTACAATGTACATGTACAATAGTGCACAAATGTACAGGTGTGCATGTACATATGCATAGTCAAAGTCAGTTCTCGTTAGCCTTGTTAGAAAATGACTTCAAAATCTAAAGAGATCTATAGGACTACACATACCGGTAAGTTATATAACAGATGAAAATGCTATTTAAGAAGGAAGGGTCAATAATCTGTGCAAGTTAAAATTCAATTAAATGTACATCAAATAAGCAACTGAGGTTATTGTACCAATACATACACCTACATGTGACTTCAGTGTTACTGAACAGCACTGAGTAAGCAGGAGTACAGCACCGGTACCGTACAAGTATTATATCCACTGAACAACATGTACACCAGTGTTCTAGCCATGGTGGGCAGCGCCAGGCAGCACCACCCAGTACTGCAAATTTCCGCCCGGCTCTCGGGTTCAAATTGGCTGTGCTGCCCAGCATAAATTTTCAAAAAAATGAATTGAAATATAAATTAAAATGTGCCAATTCAATTGTATTTCAAGCATCAGAAAGCGTTGAGAATGTCTAGCTACATGTAGCATTGTTATGAGACCCGGACGTGAAACGAGGGGATACATACATTGTAATCTGGTAATGTAGCCTCCCCTGAAGCAGCGTGCACATGTTCATAGTCTTGGCTCAAGACCAGCCAAACAGCAGTATCAATAGAGGTTGCAAATCCAGTCCGGCTATGAGCTGCGCGAGCTCCACTCATTGTGCTTGCTATGCTTTGCAATCCAAAAATTTATCTGGCACTAAAATGGTCCTAGCTAGAACACTGACGTACACATACATGTACATGTATGCATACATGTACAAGTACGGAACGTACATATACATGTATGTACATGTACACTGTACATGTACATTATAATTGCACTGTTCAGGCTCCCCCCCTCCGGCCTTTTTGCTAGGCATCACCCTCAATCCTTCAAAATCCTTTGATTATCTACAGGGTGTATCAAAAAAATTACATTCAGCCTCAATCCTCCAATGTTTCTTGAAAATGTTCCTTTGACAGTTTGAGGGGTGCCCACTGCCTGTAAAGTCCACAAGTACAAGTACACATGTACGGTTTATACATGTACAATACAGCATGTACTGGTATACAGAGGTTTAAAAGCAGCATAACACTTGTACAACTTGCTAAGTTGTTTTGGTTCACAGTACCAAATACAAGGCCACGGGCAACAGTAAGCTATTTAAGAGTGGCCCAACAAAAGGTTGAATGCGCATTTGACAATACCCACAATATAGGTCAGCGGCTTACAATGGAGAATACATGTATGTGCAGCACATTTGGGTGCAGCTTGGGTGCAGCCAAGATGTACATGTACATGTACCGGTACATGTACATGTACATTACAGGTACATACATGTAAGCGTAGTTTACTGTACCTCAATACAAACCTCAAACAGACAAACTGTGTGGTTGCAACAATGTGCCTAAAATGACAGAAACATTTGTACTTTATTACCCCATACATGTATGTTCAATTTTACAACATGTTTATGGGATAGCCAACAATGCTACAATTTAGTAAAATTTTATTTAAAACAAGTAGCCAAAACAATCCCAAGAAATACACAAGAAACAATATGTGAGATTCTCAAAAGAATCAGTTTCTTTTAAGGTTTTAGGTTTCAAACAGAGTGCTCTGTTAGTCACTGTCCACGTGAAAAATGACGATGACAGAAAGTGATCCACAACTGTCAGGTTCAGCAGTTCAGTCCTGCAAAGAAGCTTGGATTTATTTATTTCTTATTGAATCAGTGTGAAATTCCTTATTTCAAGATAAAGGCTAATTTTGATAATACTTACCCTATACATGTACAAAGAAATGCTAAAATCTAAACATGAGGGGAACAGAGAACAGCTACATGTACAGTATGTGTACAGTGAACACTTTGAAATGTAATTATTGTCTCTGATCATTATACAGTCATCATTCCTACATGTACATTTTACCTCTATGATCATAATCACTGGTGCCACACATGTACCAGTACTGCCTACATGTACATGTACATGTATGTATATAATGCACAATTTTTTTCTGCCGGACATACATGTACCGGTACGTTACGTGTACAGGGGTAAATGTGAATCCTCAATCACACCAAATGAAATTTAAAAACAACTATTTTCGATGGATAAATTGATAATTAGGCAATCCTTCCTTCCTCCATGCTGTGTGATGCATGCAAAGTGTGCAATGTACCAGTATTTCGATCGTTTTCATTTGGGAATGAGAGGGTGATGAATAAAAACCTAACTGTGTAGTCAGTTGCATAGTCTTAAAACCATGATTCATCAGATTTCAAGAGATTAAATCAGTTTTGACAGCTTTTGGGGAGAAGACTTGATGAGAAAGTGAAATTTGTTCAGAACAGAAATGTACCCTGATTTGACAACTGGGCTGCATTAAAAAACTCATAGCATTACAAACCCAAGGAAGTCTTAGGACTGCAAGTTACACAGAGTAGTGACTTGCAGTTATGTAAGTAGACATGTTAGAGAAATGCTTAGAATTTTTCAGACGAGTCCCATACTAGGGTTTACATGTATGCACAGGGTTTCAAGTGATGTCCATGTATGGAACTTTTTCCTGCAGGTGTCCTAAAAGTGGAGATTGTGTATTTGGGAATCCCCCAGTTTTTTGTCATTTTAATCTTGCAACACCTGTCAGTCCCCCCCCCAAAAAAGAACAGGCAACACTCTCTTTCTATTTGGCTACTTCTATGCTGCTACATGTACTTGACAAAGTCCCCTCACATTGGGATATCGCACCAAAGATAAGATGTGAATTATCTAGTGTGTGCTGAGTGTAGTTTCGAACAAGAAGAATGAAGCAGAGGTGGCTGATGCAGGGAGGTTATTCCACGAAGGAATCGTTCTCCGGAACAAGGAGAATTTGTAGACACTGACGCGCTGAGCCTTTTTTGGGGGGGATTTCAAATTGTAAGTTGTGAGAAAATGTGACTTTCTTACTGCATGTAACATACATGGAACTGACAAACCAGCCAAGCAAATTTGACCTTACTACATGTACATGTATGTCATGCATGTGACATGTGTTAAAACACTCAGTTTCTCCTCGTAACTACCCTCAAAACTCAAATCCACATCATCTGATCATCAACCCAACATTGACAGTTACTGAGTATGATGTCATCATAAGTGAATCCAAAAGTCAAAATGTAGACCCGTCTCCCTTATAGCATGTCTAGGATCAAGAGTTCCATAAATACATGTACATGATGTATGCTTATATGTACGTGTCGACGTACATGTAGGCCTACATGTAAATATGTACATGTAGGCTTATACATGTACATGTACATATGCGTACAAACAAACACTTGATGCCCCTGTACTGCTGTAGGCTGACAGTAGTACATGTACGAAACCTGTCTGAAAAACCTACATGAAAAATGTATTCTGAGTAAATGCAACAGGAATTGTCTTAGCTAAATTCCACTTTTAAGGCACTTTTACTCTCTGATGGCTGTTGTAACATTCATGACATTTTAAGGGAAAATTCTACAATTCATAATTAGGCCTAGGCCCTATTTATGTATAGAGGAGATTGTATATTTAGGGACCCCAGCTTGTTGTCATCCTAATCTTGCAAAACTGTTAAGTCCCCCCCCAAAAAAGGGCAACACTCTCTTTATTGCACTGATCCTATTTCTTCAAATTGCAAATTGTGAGAAAATTTTACTTTCTTTCTGATAAACAAGCCATGCAATTTGAATCCACAATGAGGCACGTGTTAAAACACTCACAGTTTCCCCTCATAACTTCCCTCAAAACTCAAAACCCTGAACTTTTTGATAGCATCAACCCTACTGACCATTGTTGAGCATAATATCACAGTCATCTACCAAGGTGAATTCAAAAGTTAAAATGTAGTTTTCGGCACAATTGCAGAATACCCCGCCACTCACCTTGCCCACCTCTTAGCCACGGATATGGAGTCACGCTTCCATTCACAAGGCCCACTTCCTATCCCCATATCCGCGTAGCCGCTCCCCAGGACCCACATTGGACTCAGGAAAATTCTTCGGCCTTCCCAATTCACTTTGTGTTGCAGGACGCAAGGCCCACTTCGTATCCCCATATCCGCTCCCCGGGACCCACACTGGACTTACAAAATTCTTCTGCCATCCCCATTCACTTTGCATTGCAGGACGCACAAAGCCCACTTCCTATCCCTGTATCCGTGTAGCTGCTCCCAGGGACCCAAATTGGACTTGGGAAAATTCTTCTGCCTTCCCCATTCATTTTGTGTTGCAGTGCTTCGTTCTCAAGAATGACTTCAATGCTGTACACAACAAGTACCTTGATGCAGCAAGGATAACAACCTCCACTTGACTATGCAGCCACGGATTTTTAGGGGGTATTTTCACGTGGCGGGGTATTCTGCAATTACTCCTGACGTAGCTTTCAATTCTATCATAGGCCTACAACATGTACATGTAGGAACTGGGTCCCCAAATTTCCAATCCCCATTACGGAACTCTTTCTTCCTGACATACCTGAAGCAAGGCTTAGTATCATGTTTTTGATTTGATTTATTCGCCTAATAATAGTAATACTATTACTAGGGATAGGTCTAACCATGGAGATTCTACCTCCATGGTCTAACAGTAACACAGAAAAAAAAACATTAAATTGTAAATTCATGTTATTTCCATTGCGGTCCCAAATGCTCATGTCTACAGCAATGGGGGACCAAAATGCACAGTCCCCTAAATGTAAGGACCGTCAATAACTAACTGACTGTAGGGAAAGGAAATTATAACTATGTACAGGCCTGGTTCATGCCCTGTCACTCAGAGCCAGGCCAGGAAATCGTGATGTAGAACCATAACATGCCATCAAACATTCATTGTCAAATCTTTTAACTAGGCCTATAAACTTATTATGGCAAACACTTAGAACCAAAATATAACATGTAAACAATCTTTATATCCTTACGTGCTCATCCATGTTTTTATTGTCGTATTCCAGAGACACCAAAGGTGATAATCGTAAATTAAAACTCACTGTTTTGTTCCGCGGATTACAGCGCAATCATGATCATTATGCCGCCATCTTTGACATTTGCGCTTCAAATCCGTGACGTCATCGTCACTACAAAAGAGGGCGCTATAACAAAACTTCGATGGACTGTACACAAAATCTTTTGCTGTGTGTACTGATATAATATACAGAATGAGGCCACCCGCAGCCGTTTTACTGCGGCGAATACTGACGATGATTGGCTCTCTTGCCATTGTATAACCATTGATACCATACACGAATTCGATAAACAACGTCGGGCAAGCTTTTGTATTATTACCTTTGTAGCTTTGTATGGTAAGACGGCCGCTCGGTAGCTTCATTAACTTCTGTCTGCCGGGTCCAGATCCTTTCCATGAGACCGTCATCTACCATCATTGTTTGACTGTCACGGCCAATAACATCGTGAGAAGTAGCCACAGAACCGTTGTCTATAAAAGCTATAAAAAACTGTTGCATTGCAGACACAGTTTCTTTTTTGTTTTAATTAAAATATAAAAGCCAGAAAACAAGGCTCTTGTTTGTGTGTACATCTCAGACTTCACATGTACCAGTCCACAGCCGACCTTTGATGAATCGTCGTTTTCATTTTGCCGTTCACTTCTTAATTACAATTTGTCCAAAGGCCACTTTTTTGCTGTTGGCCCTTTTTTCCTAGGAAACAAAACGTAACAATTTCCCTCCTTTTCGAGCACAAAACTACCCCCATGTTCGGCAAAATTCTTGCAAGAATTCAAATTTAAAAAGCGGCTTAACAGTTAAACTTTGAAAGTCCAGCTGGTTAAAAATAATGTTTTTAAAAAGTGCAATGGGCCAATGATTACATACTTTTGGGAGGGCCTCACTCACAAAACGTGAAGATTAAATCGTGCCATACCAGCGGGCGCGCTTTCAAAATTTTAATTGCATGTAAGCGCTGTAAGATTCCGACATCACGACATTAGGGGGCCTAAGATAAGTTATGTAAAACGCATATGTACGCAAAATCAGTTCACATTAATAACAGAAAAGAAATGTTAGATTTTGAATCGGAAGCATAATGAAACCAAAATCCTAGATTGGAGTGTCACATTTAGAATGCAGGTTTTAGTCAAAAAGTATTACAGTCTCCCGCCTTCCACAATAAACCTTACTCACGGGGATGCATTTTTGAATTGTGTTCCCGGAATCTATCCGAATTCAATGTAATAATTGTGAAATGAGATGATGCCAGACTATTTGGTGTTCCATGCCTCACTTCCAATCTTTTTCTTTTAATTTGGCTTAACGTAATTAATCACGATTTTTTATTTTTCGTCAGTATAGCTGTCATTATTTTGTTTATGAAGTCTTATTTCAGTGCGACAATTTTTTATTCTCAGGTGCTGAGATTTAAAAAAATACCTCGGATTCGCTTTCAATTCAAGATGGCTGATTTGCGAATAAGGCAGAGGTGAAAAAGCCATAATTTAATCTTGGTCATTTTTCACAAGAAGAGTAATGTTACTTGATCATCATCGCCACCTGACGTAAAAATTCTGACCAATCAGAAATGACGTTGCGCGCATGAGAATGCCAACCACTAACCACACTCAGAAAGTGGCACATGGCACAACTTACGCAAAGTTACCAGAACGTGCCATCAGCACTGCGTGTACGTGTTCGCGTGCTCGAGTGAAGAATTCTAAGACACTAGTCGTAGATTTCATTTGTTTTTGACTTTTGTAGGGTTAGCGACAGAAACTTTTTGCAATGTCCGGCTTCGACGTGACGTCCTTTATAAAGGACTTAATGGCTGGCGGAACTGCTGCAGCTATTTCCAAGACAGCCGTGGCACCGATTGAGCGCGTCAAGCTCCTGCTTCAAGTACGCCACTAACCTCTAATGAAACTAACACTCATCAGCTACAAACTGCACTGCTAACCGAACTGACAACATCTTGTATTTTTTGTTTGAATAGGTTTAAGCTGCCTCGACGCAGATTGCAGCAGATAGGCAATACAAAGGCATCATTGACTGTCTCCGCCCTGTTGTCAAAGAACAAGGATTCACTTCTCTCTGGCGAGGAAACCTGGCCGATGTTATCCGCTACTTTCCGACTCAAGCCCTCAACTTTGCCTTTAAGGACAACTACACGCAGCTCTTCCTCAGCGGGGTGGACAAGCGCACGCAGTTTGCCCGCTATTTCATCGGGAATCTTGCCTCCGGTGGGGCGGCCGGCGCCACCTCGCTCTGCTTCGTCTACCCTCTGGACTTCGCCAGGACACGCTTGGCAGCTGACATTGGCGGCATGACGGGAGTGGCCGGCAGTTCAAGGGGCTAGGCGTTTGCTTGGTCAAGATCGCCAAGTCAGATGGAATTCATGGTCTGTATCGAGGCTTTGGAGTATCCGTCCAGGGTATCATCATATACAGGGCTGCCTACTTCGGCACTTATGACACCGTAAAGGGACTGATCCCGGCCCCTCCCAGTGCAATAACATCATTGTGAGCTGGATGATTGCCCAGGTGGTGACCACAGGCTCAGGTGTTGTCAGCTACCCCTTTGACACTGTCCGTCGCCGTATGATGATGCAATCAGGCCGCAAGGACATCTTGTACAAGAACACCATTGACTGTTAGAAAAAGATCTTCAAACAGGAGGGTCAAACAGCCTTCTTCAAAGGGGCCTTTTCCAACATTCTGCGTGGTACTGGTGGCGCCCTGGTTCTTGTGCTGTATGATGAAATCAAAGCTCTTCTCTAACCCGTTCGCTATTTTAACGCCATACACCAACCATCTCAACAAGAAACAAAATTATATTGAATTTTAATTGCTGTTTTTAAATGTATTACATAAGCAATTCAATCTCCAAACTTTTAAACATAACCACCAGTTCTGTGTTATTTGGCAACCATTTACATGTACGTAGCAAATTCAAATAGAATTCTTCCTCGAGGGGTCTTCCACTTTGATTTATCGTCCATGGATTATAACAGAGAACAGATCTTTTCATTGCGAATTGTGGAATCATGGTTCTGCAGAATAATTGCGATCTCGTGTAAATGTAGAAAATTGTCAAACATTTCAAAATGAAAGTACATTATCGATAAAAATGGCCTTTGTGGGAAAGTTATGAAAAGGTATAATTAAATCTGCAACACTGTCACCAAAGATATAAAAACTTGAGTTCATTGTAAATGCATTTGTACCTATGTCAAACGAAGTGCAAAATCACGGCGATCCTAGTATATGTATTAATACAATTTCTTTTTGCTCTTGTTCAGAGCATTGATTCCTTACAATAGCCGATAAAACCGCCAATCATTTATTTGGTGCCTTAAATAGTTCTGGTGCATGGTCCGTTATGGAGGAGATAAAATGGGTTGGGCTCATTTTCTAGAGGGCGCTTGGTGCACTAAGTCATAGTTCCAAACGCCACAACTCATTTTCGTAATGCATCGAATCAGGATCTGCTTCTCCATAGTGACTAAATTCTTGTTTTGATCTCTTTATATTAAAATCAGATATCCCGGGAGTGTGACGCACAGAAAGGACTGAAACTAGTCCCCGTTCACTATCCCAGGACAAGGTTGCTTGATGGCTGCGCACAGCACTAAATACACACCCAAGTGCAAAATCGATGAGAAATATCGCCGCCTGGTGACGCTTAGGAAGAGGGTGGCCTCGTGTGTCTTACTGGAAATTCAAGATAATGACCGCTAAATCAAATTCCTTAATTTAAGGATTAACCACGATTTGTCTTTTTTGTCCTGCCCCCAAATGGTACTTAAACCTCACGCTCAGGTGTAAATGTAGCCTGTGTGTGCAAATAGGTCCAGAAGTTTAAGGTTTTTGTGAACAAATTATCCTGAGTTAGAATCCATTAGTACAAAATGCTTGACTTATAGAAAAGAAGCTCTACACTTGCTCCTGCATGATTATGGCACTCCCGTGGAATCACAAAATATTACTGTACTCGACAACAGGAATTTAGTGATTTCGTAGAATGCACCTTGAGGGGAGCAAGTCAAGTGACTTCTTTACGACTTTTTGTCGAAGACAAGATGTCGAGGCACACAAGCCCGCCCGGGACACAGACCCCGTCCCAACGAAGGCTTCCAGAACAAAGTGCCCCATCGCTGTAATGCCACTGTACGGATTCTCAGCTAGCAACAAGGAAAGACAAATAGACGCTTTTGACCCCCAGACCTACACAGATCAGAAAACAAAGCAGAAAAAATCAGACTTCGACACCACTTTTATCTAAAATCTTTTTGTTTCAAAAATGGCTAGATGAAATACGGACGGAGTATTAAGAATGGATGCAAATGCAATTAAGGCACTTAAGGTAAAACACAACAGAAATAATCATATTCTACGACTGGTTATCGTTTATAGATATAAACAAATAAAAAAAACCTTATTACCAAGTGGACGACACAAACGCGAGAAAATTAAGCAAAACGAAAAAACAGGGTAAGATTTGAAGCTTTGCATGGCCTACACATTCCCCTGAGGACGGCCAGAGCATACTGGCCGAAACGTCGAGTTGAACACTCACCGGTTCTTCTCAGAACCACACCTCTTCCCAAAAGAGAATTTTTACATGGTGTACCCGCAAACCTACATCCTATGAAAAAACAGGGGTTGGTATTGACACCAACGCATTGAATTCAGCACGTTACACACATTTAAATGTATTATCAGTTAATTAACGACATTCTCAGCCTACCAGAATGCCCTAAGAGCAGGTTTGATATCGCCATATTCTACATCAATTAAGCATGTACTTTTTTCTGCCCATGAAATTCATAATCATCTCAAACTCTTCTTACGATCAAGTGAGGAAACGATCACAACGTTTACTAGAGATTAAAATATACGGGCGTCAAACCATGAACATCTAACAAACGAAGCACGGGGCAATAACAATGGACACTCATTGTTTGTTGGTGAACTGTGTTTCTTCTGTTAGATGTTCGTAGTGTCAGAGGGCAAATGGGAGAAAGAAAGGAAAGAAAAGGCTTAGAGAAACAAAACAAGGGAAAGGAGATGAAAATCAAAAATTGGTTGGAAATACCTCGGAAATCACACACTCCTTTCCACCGATAATGGATTATTATTTCGCCGGTGATGAGCACTTCACCCCTTCCCCTGAATATCTCCTGTCCCTTTGAAAAATATCCCAGTGACGCCCACACTCGAATCCACGACCTTTCTTTCCCTTCTGCAGTTCAGTTCAAGTCTTCATGGAATTAATATAGTGTACGCAATAATCTTGTAAAATGATAAGTGAAATGACAAAAACTAAAAGAATAAAATCTCACAATGTCACACGTCTTCGAATTAATTATACTATTATGCGGACAGCAAATATTAAGGTATGTTAACGTCATCAGTTTGAAAATTACAGTACAGAGAGCAAATAGATCATTTCAAGTTCACAGTAATTTTTCTATTCTCTGAAATCACAGAAAAGTATATATATACTTATTCGAACGTAAGTACTCCAATCACACATCGATGTTAACTGTCTGGCATTCTCAGCCCCAGTAGATGCAAAATCTGCACAATAGGTTTAATACTTTAGTGCAATATACAGCGGAAACTACTAGTGCATAAAAACAATAAGCTAGAGAACCAATACGAGGTGCAGACGAACATTGGAATAGGAAAATTATAGCTTTACTTAAGGAATTAATTTCCGACAATTAATTACATTAATTAGAAGTAACATTACAAGAGAAAAAAAGAAAAGCATGTGGACTGTGAAAATTACAAAAGAATCATGAAAAGAAAGTGAAATAAATGAGCTACAGACTTTAAGTACAGCATGACAACCGGATGCATTTACAACATTACGAATTTGTTCACTTACTGATGTTAAAATTATTCTTAAAACAATCTGCATACACAATAGAAACAGATGTTAAGAAACTCGACTAAACATGTACATGTTTAATCTGTAATTAGGAGTAACCCCTCATTTTGGAAAACACAGTCCCTTTAAAACAAACTGATCTGCAATATCTAGTGAACGACAGCAATATTTTGGAAAGAATGTTTCTTGTTTTATATATATACTATAGCATCCCTCTTTCATTTACAAGGGATAAGCATATTGAGCTCAGAAGCAAATGTACTTCCAAATATTAATAGCTCAAAAAGATGTTTCAGCTTGGGCAATACCCATGGAACACGAAACAAGAAGCTGAAGTTGAAATATTGGTACATGAAATGTATATAGACACGGCGTGTACAATTTACTTCTCTATGGAGCACAAGACGGCAATCCCACTCCAACAACTACCTGACAAGCTGACACACACTTTGCAACTGAGTTGAAGTCACATCTTGTTCATGGCCAGTCTCCATTTATACCCATCCGCTGCCTCGGGTCGTATTACGATATGGCCAACAGCTGGTACCTATAACAATCACATACATCACTAACAGTTCCATTTCTTATTTTAGTCGTTATGTAAGTCACACCTGAAGACGGTTTATCAAACCATTTGTATCAAACTAAGTATTTACTTCAATCTGAAGAGATTTGGTTTTTACGACAACAGTAGGTATACTTGATCTGTTTGTAGTTTATGGCTCATAAAACAGCAACAAACTCAAGAATGCACCGTTCATGCTCCCCTTGGAAATCATGTTTAGACGGTAGTGTCCTTCAAATAAATCGAAGCTTAACTCAACCACTCAACTAAGATAAATCTTATCCAATGGAGGAGAATCTACCATTAATAACTGTTTTCAAGTTTGATTAATTGAAGATGAATTTAGTCATGCTCTGCTGTTAAAATTCAGTTTCTCATAATGCAGAGATCACAACAATCACCAACTCCTGCATTCTTTGGCAAAAGGAACGCATATCAGCCAGCCGACTTCCAAATTCTCAAAATGTATGATGTTTTTACAGCTGTTAACGATTCTAATATACATTTTACAACGTGATCATACTCCACATGTTCAGATCGACGTTCGAATACATGTATTGCTTAAAATGTGTACTAACTACTCGTCATGGGCCCTTCCTTCCCCACGATTATAAGTAACCAATGCTAAGCTGTTACAAATGAAGGCATAGTGAGTAAAAATCGTAAATTAATAGAAAGTCTAGGTTCTACGTCAATACATGTACTACGATACGAACATGAGCAGTCAAAACTTTCCATTCTTTTCTCCAACAGACACTTCGTGATGTCATTTCATACTTTTATAATCTTCTTTCCAATGTCTGCTTTGGCCTCCTCTCCAGTTACCTCTGCGGTGGGAACTATGTCGCATTCATCCTCCACAAAGGCCTTATTGCTTATTCCTTGCTTTGGTTCCGTACTCGGTTGTTTTTCTTGTTCGGTCTTACAGTCTTGTTCTGTCGACCCCACCGGGGTTGGTGCCGAGGTTGGAGGCGGTGAGGCCCCGTTACCGCTCTGTGTGCTGCTTGCTGGAACATTGTTAACAGCAGCCTCACGTTCTCGCTGAGCTTTCGCCAGAAGGAAAGATTCATTGGTCTGAACGATCTCGTGCTGAAAACCTCCAAAATCAGACGAGAATTTTTTGAAAACTATTTGTACTCCCTATTTGTCAATGGAAATCACCCTGAGGTTAATTTAACGTAGGGTGTCTGTCAAATCCATTTTATCATTATTATTATTAGCACCATCACTCTGACGTGTTGAATCTCTTATTTTCTGGTTTTAACACCAGAGCGACGAAATGTTTCTAAAACACAGCCTATCAATTCTGTCTTTGCTTGCTCAAATCCTGCATGTCTATTAGAATACATGTATATTCCTAGAAAATAGTTTGGACTTTTAAAACGAAACAATGTACCGGTATTCAGATTAAGGGGTAGACATTACAAATTTCGTTACAAAATTAATAGACATGTACACAAGGTGTGTTGGTATTTTCCAATCATGTCTAACTCTGGCAACAGAATTTTAATCATACCTGGTTTGGGTGGAACGCCATGCTTCATATACTTGGTCAGGAGAAAGGATTCGATTGTCTGACAAGCCACGCCCCCTACAACAGGAGGAGGTTCATCTAGCATCTCCAGAGCCACCGAATTCTCAGCTGGGAACAGCTTAGACCTGAATTGGAAAAACAAAACAAAAAAATAATTAAATAAAAAAGATACTGACTAATTATCAAATATATAAGAAAAATAAGCATTTTAAGGGAAACATAGTAAGTAATATTGATATTTGGATTCGTGTGCAGGTATCCAATGAAAGGGGTATACCCCCACTCCTTTAAACATGTAGTAAAAACTACACGTTTCCATTTTCAGTTTCCTAATAATTTTCTTCCATATAGATCCCTAAAGTAGGCTATGTAAACCAAGCCGTAACCACACTAAAGATATAACATGGTCTTATTTTCTCCATGTCGTTCCACATTTTTCATAGACAACAACAGCGAGTCAACTTCCACGTGAGATTTATTGCCCAGAGTTGAACTGCAGCCCGCATAATGCCCTTGCAACAAGTCTGTCTTAAAGAATTCCACACGCCATGTGTGGCATTTCTGCTTGGGTCTGTCTCCACCAGCGAAGTGCTGTTCACAGTACACTGTCGCATGGCATCGTCGCACAATCGCAACGTTCCGTAGCATCAAGCTGTGGCATAGTTTTTTACTGTTTGGGTAGAGCCATCGGATTGGACAGTCGCTTCTTCCTATCCAGGTCGTAAGTGTTACGTCACCACAGTTCAAACCAAAGACGGTAACAGCGGCGCTATACAATCGCGCGGCGCAAAACAAACAAACCACGCCCACAGCTAAATGGAACCCAAAGTTAACGCACAACTTGAGTGCGCATCCAATGGAAGCTTGCAATCACTTGGTGCGTACGTGACACAACTTTACAACGCGACGGTTCCTTTGCATGCAGTCGCTTTCTTGCCATTACTTTTGAAAACTGGCGTCACATCGTGCTGCCCCCTTGGTATCGTCCTTTCCATCTTTCATATTTTTCTGTCTAAACATCGCTCCTCCCCCGTTGCGCATAGCGCGTGGCGTCGTGCGTTGCCTCCTTACGACCTGACTGGTTATGTGCATCATTAACATGCCAATACTTCAGTCATTAACGCTGAATGTGCCTCAGCATCCCATTTGGTGGCTGATGGCACAAGCAGTCGAAAGCAATTCGGATACTACAGAACAATCAGAGGTAAACATCATCAACATTGCTGGGCCACACCGAAACTGTACAAAAACGTGCTGCCAGATTAGCATTAGGTAACTATAGGGAACGTAATGTAACATAAATGAAACAGAACCTCGGATGGGATCTTTTGGTAGAGAGGCAATTTGAGGCTGGTCTGATTCTTCTCTGCAAAGCAGCAGACCACTTTGTAGCTACTGACAATTAGCTACGATAAATTCACCATCAAGCAAGACAAGACAAACATCAGCCATGTTCATTTCGAAAACTGACCAATGAAAGGACTGCTACCACCTTTCCCCACGGACGATTGCACATCACAGTTCTCTTTCTGTATAATTTAGGCAATCACCAATGACTAAAACCCTGAACTATCAGTTAAGTTCCAATGATCTGTTTGAACTGTACTTCAAAGCTTGCTGCCTTGTCTAGTGAATATCCACTAGGCTTAGATGGAGTTTATATATTAGTAAAAAGACGCAAAAAAGACTAATAACAAATTCAATGTTTTTCAGTAAGTTAGGGAAATTCCAGTAATTAATAGCAGGGCACTGAATATTCATCGCCCATACCCATTGTAGTGTCTATACTTCACCCAACACTTACGTATCACATTCCTTCCCCCGGTTAACTAATCTGTTATAGCCACATCCAATTATCATCACTAGCAGTAAGACAACAGCGATCCCAGCAGCTGCGATGATTCCGATGTAGGCATTATCTGCAAGACAAGACTGGTTTCATGATATTTTTAACCCTCAACAAAAGGTTACTTTAAGAAAATGCATATGACAGAACCCGTCACAGTTGTGACGTTTGGCATCTTGAACAAATGTAACAACCGTTGGCAGCGTCATAAACTATACGACTCGTAAATGTGTTATTTTTTAGAGGCTATTGTCCGGATAAATATCTTGTATTTGGTAAGTAGACATATTTGGTTGGGAAAACTTTTGAACAAAAAGAGTTTAATGCACGTAACGCTACATGCCAACCTACCATCTCTCCCACCACTTGGTGGCAATGGTTTCTTATCACATCGATAGCCGAAGAAACCTTTCTTGCATCTGTAAAACCATGGTAAAACCGAAGAAAGTGATATTAACCATGCCAAATAATATAAATCGACCCAAGTGACAAACAGCAGGAACGCTGAGGGCGCAACACACATTCTTGCAAACGGCTATAAGAACAGAAACCAGCTATGGACACACGATGTTTTCAGTGCATCTCTGCAGGCGGAAACAAATATTTCAGGGACTAGGTTCAAGCAACAGACTATGTTGCTCTGCTTGTAACTGAATTGTTGATGTTTTAACACTTGGCGTTACAAAACGTGTTAAAAGACCGTAATAAGATGGGAAATATATGAACTATACGACAACTCACTTGCATTGAATGTAATCATTACTTTCTTGACATGTAGAATTATTCAAACAGTAGCCTTTGTTGTCGCTACAACTTGCTGTACACTTGATTCCTGAAGCCATGCATTTCATCTCAGTCTGAAGGCACGGTCGAACATCACATGCATTGTTCAGCTCCATAACTTCCCCTAATGTAGGAAAGATATTTTTAGGCTTCCAGAAAACCATCTTCGTATCAATTACAGGTCAGAGCTTGAGTTGGTGTTGAAGAGCGGAATTCTACTGATATAAGCCTACTTTGATTTGCGGCAATTACAACTTTAATTTCAGACACTTTGACAGATATTACATTCAAACCTCAGGAATATAGAAAAAAAGTTAAAGTATGACGGTTTGACAAATCTTATCGCACAAACCATTCCCCGATACAAGCTTCAAGTCTTCCACCTCAAACGCCCCCAACGTTCCATTCAGTACAACTTGCTCGAAGAGAGTCATTATCACTTCTTCGCGCTCTTTGATGTTGAGAACTTCTTTAAATTCTAGTTTCACGTCGGCAATAATGCTTCCGTTTCTGCAGTCAGAAAACATCCACATTGCATTAATGTTACACTCATGTTAGAAACATGTTGAGATATAAATATAGGCCAACATGTAGCTACTAAAGATGGACAACTTTTAGCATGCAAACGACAATACCGCCTACTTACCGCAATTCCGATACAGTCACGGATTTCAACTTTTTGTTTCCGATGAACAATTCTTTAAACTAGAGAATAAAATGGAAAGTTTTTACAAAATCATAGCTGCTGAGTAAAAAGCTTTAGTTTTCTGTTATGTGAATCAAGGCTGTGCTTGGAATATGAATAATCAGTTGTCTTCCAAACCAGAGGTTCGGAGCAATAAAACACTGTCGCCAATTTTCACCGCCGAAAATTTTGCGTCCTGACGGGTAAGCTCGACAGAGACCTGTAGTTAACATCACCCAAACGATGGATTGTTTAGATTACTTTCCCATTTTCCAGGGGCATGGGGGTTGCCCCCCCCCCATAAATTAATAAATGAATAAAAAGAAAAGAAAAAGTTCGGGGAAAACAAAATGGACCCAGCCCCATAAATGCGACAAAGGTTTAAAAACAACCCTGCTTCCAACCTCCCTAAGTTTACGGCCGCAACCCTAACATTTTTAGTTCACCCCCCCTCCGCTTTGGAAAATCCTGGATCCTCTCCTAGTTAAAGCTTTGAATTTTGGAAAGGCATCATCAAATCGAATATGGTCCAGAAATTTGAGGCGTTTTCACGACATTCATACAATAAACAATGCGATAAATTGTTGCCACTGGAACTCAGAAGTAACATCTTAAAAAGAGGTATGTTGACATATAGGTGCCCGTACAGTTACCTCATTTAGAATTGGGGGGGGGAGCAAAGGGTTGAGCCTCGGAACACGACAGCATTGAGCAGCAATCAAAACCACTAAATTGCCACTACTGTTTGGAGAAAACTTCTTCATCAGGTAAATATAATGATTCTTGCAATAAACACGATAACGAGGATGAAAACCAAGGGCGTAGGTTGGGGGGGTGCTCCCCCCCACCCCGCCAGCAGAAGGGAGTTCCGCTTGAGGCGTTTATATTCTATTTTGTAAAACAAACAACATTACGTTATTTCATTTAGGTGAAAGTACGTGGGTTTTTTTTATACACGATGACTGAAAAGTAAAACAGCAAATACAGTCGACTCTCGTTATTACGAAATCCGCGGGACCCAGGAAATGTTCGTTATATCCGACATTCGTTGTAGGCGGAACGCAGTGCGATGGCTTCGGTGTATTGTATATATGCATTATTACGATTGAACGACAATCGGAGTTAACTCGCCCACTGCGGCGCGACCACCTGCATGCGAGATCATATGAAGCAAACTATGGGACAGAGAGAACCCTCCCCCGTGTTGGTCATTGTTATACTGGTAGGTTATCTCAGGAATTCTTTTCAGACTGGGGGATGTGTTAAGTGACAATAGGCTGGGGTGTGTATAGGGATTGGACTTGTTGGGGGGTATATACCCTCTATCCCATTTCGTGCCCAGTATACGCGAGATGGTCACTGAAGAAGCATGATGTCTTGAGGAAATGTTGCGATTGGATAGCTAAGGCCGCATCCGAATCTCTTGTCTACAGCTAGGTCTAGGTCTTCGCTCCATTGGAAATGCGTGGAGACGCGTAGACAATAGACCTAGCCGTAGCTCTGGAAGCCCGTTTCGGACACGGCCTAAGTCTCACAAAATGTACGTCATGTAAGCGCACAATCTCATTGGCGGGCGTACTAATTCTTTTGACAGCAACATTAATAATTCAGCGTTGGGCGATAAGTTGGGCTCTTAGGAAGCGAGAATAGTCAAGCAAACTTATTTGGGGTGTATTTTTATCGGAATAAGAAAGGAAATTTTGTTCTGGCGTGGCTGTAAGCAGTGTAAAATCACCAATTTTTCAATCGTGCACTACGCTAGTCATGACGAGCAATTGGCGAAGGCGGGCGATAAAATTATGCTTCGGCAGGAAATTTGGTGGAAACACGCTCACTTCCAGTACGAGCAGTACAACCTCAAATTAAATGCACAAATACAGAAAATACAAATACAGACATTTTTAACGGTACTGATTTTTTGACTCGCAACTGTAGAGCTGCATTCGCATACGATGTGGTGCAACGTACGACGCTTTTTGGGCTGGAATACGGTACATATACGGTAGACTGGTTGCCGCATTTCCATTATGCCTTCTTTGGCAATGGTTCGGCGAAGCGGGAACCAGTGTAGCTTTGCTTCAACTGCATTGTACTGTGCACTTGTTTTCATTACTGCGATTCGTAAAATGGGTCAATAATGGTTTTGCAGGCAACGGAGCAGTGGCGTAACTACGGGGGGGGTACGAGGGCACGTGTCCCCCCAACGGAGGCCCGTGCCCCCCCTTGAAATTTTGAAATGGACAAAAAATATATATGCCTAGTTCAATTATTGTCAGTGCCCCCTGAAAAAATTTGTGCACCCCAGGTGCCCCCTCAGCTGTAGCCCCCTAGTTACGCCAATGCAACGGAGTCCCAAAACCTTCCGTTGCAACAGGAATATCGTACGCTGCGATTTCGCTGTAACAAATTTTCTCCCCACAGAAATGTGCGCACAGATGTGTGTTTGCTTCAATTCAATTTTGTTATAGCCGATTCCGTGTAACGACAGTCGACTTTACATGTATCTTGGGCAATCTGCTTTTCACGTGCGCACTTTGCTTTTCTCGTTTAAATAATGGAAGTTTGGAGTTCCGCTTTCTTGAAAATTGCAACCGCCCTCCCCCTGGCCAAACCAGCCCACGCCCCTGAAAACTCACCCTCAATACAAGCCAAAAGGAAACGTTAATACGTGTAACAATTTACCTACTTAAAACAATTGTAAAATTCAGAAAGCTGTGTGGGATCACGTCCTTGATGTGAGTATCGAATATCTCGTTCTTTGAACAAAAATGTAGGTCTTGTTTTACAACCAAACCGCAGACCTTAGGCCTATAAGAATTTCACACTTGCTGACTATACGTCAGTGTTATGAGGTCACACCCTTTCGTTGCAGACAAAAACAAACATTTAATCTGGCTGTCAACCAAAGCCACGTAAAATATTTAAAATATTTAAAGCATGCTGGCTGGATGTAAAGCGTGTTGGCACTTGCTAATTACGTGTCAAAGCCCTTCCGTAAGTAGTAAAAATGCAGTCTAGATTGTACAAGCATGTGGTTGCTTAAAATAAATGTATATTGTTATCATGCTTACCCCTCAACCTTCAGCTCATAAACCTTGTGACTGACACGATTGTCTCTACAAACATCCATCCAAGTAAGCATTCGAGAACATTCCAATAAGTGGAGCCCAAATGACCTATATAGAAATCACTGAGGTACTATTTGGAACAGAGTCAAGACTCCTACGCATATTTCGTGGCAATCCATGCCAACATCTGTTTCGCTTTTGCTGATAATTTAACCACACCCCTATTGCAAGTTATGCATCTGAAGAAATTTCAAGAGTTTCGTAATATAATCCAGAGCTTTTCTGGAGAGTTCATACATGCTACATGTAACTTACAAACGCCCTCCAAAATGTCCGCGTCTACGACACTCATAACTGAAGTAACGAAAGGGGAAAGATCAAAGCGACAACAATGACGTCAACATTTGCAATGGAAAAAAGTCTTGAATCCATACCTCTTGGACCAGCAATCTTTCCAGTTCTTCCCTTTCGGTTTGGTTCTTGATGTTGTCGTAGTCTTTGTTGCTAATGTTAAATCGTATAACAAAAGTTGACCCAGGAAGATCTGGGAAGAAACAAGGAGGACCATAAAAGTGAAATGTTTGTACATGTACATATACCAACTCAGGAACAAAAGAGCCATGAAACTAATCAAGTAAGAGCAACTCTAAATTCTGATAAGAATTTTTTTGAGTAAAAAATCCGAAATAGACAAAAAAGAAGTTTCTATGAACGAAGAACAGAACAAGAAAACAGAACGCATATAACACAGGCACTGAAAAGCAAAGATGGTAAAGTAACAGTAGTATCCACAAAAGTTATCGTACGGCTGGTTCATACTACACGCGAATATGAAAGCAAAACCAATCTGACTTGACGAAAGATTTGACGTCACAAATTGGCAGTTGTGTTCACCTTCGTGAAGCATGAACCGGCCTTCACAAGTTTTTTTTGGCAGTCTAATCTCAGTGCAACTCGCTTGAACCCTCCATCTCACTTTAACATCTTCATCTTTAAGAACCAAACTATAACTCTAAGTGGCACACAAAAAGTTATCTGAGCTTAGTTAATTGGACAAAGTTGTCATGGTTACTGAGCAGAATTTTAGTTGTCTCTCCGTGAAAAAACACCCCATCGGCACAAAGTCAGTAGATCGCGTTAAATAGGATTTGGATGTGTCCATTTTATTATTTCGAAACGCATTGTCACCGCTGTACTAGACCTTTCCAAGAAATCCTATAACAGAATTACGTGTTGTTTCTTACTTTTCCAGGTATGTCTTTTTAATTCACACATTTTCCCAAGACATCAAAATGCACGGTCCATACCTCGAATTACTCTGCGCCAGAGTACATGGGCTACGATAACAGCGAATGTCAAAAGACAGCTGTAAATGAGTGATGAGAGTACTAGGGCACGAAACGGCTATGAGTCGGATATATTATCCATTCAAAAGCGACTAGTGAATTTTCTTTATGATACGAGAATGCCTCAGCCAGACTTAGTGAGAGAGACACTAGACAGCTCTGGTTAAGATTACAAATAAGGAAAGTAAATTAACAAAGTTTATTATACATGTACCTGTTATGAGTTCTGGTGTGCTTTCTTCAGTGGTCAATTCCTCCAATGTGTCAACGGTGGTATTGAGTACGGTACCCGTCTCATTATCCAAGGTATCTGTCACAGTCTCGGTCACAAGGTCTGACTCTACACAAGAAAGATCAAGCAAATACATCGGCAATCTTAAATGAATTTAAGAGGTGTATAATAACAAAAATGTTAACAGTTTAGGAAATGGTTTCTCATTATCTCAATTAAACTACGACTCGGTAAGATGCTGAAAACAGTGCTGTACGGGGCGTTTTCATTCATATTAAACGGACGTATAATCCCACGTCTATTTAAATATGGAAAAAGCTCTATGTTTGTAAAATATACGAATTCAAACTTGTTCTAAAGGTTATAGACCCCGCCACAGCCAAAAGCTATCCTTTCGCTTTCATTAATTAAATTCTTGAGCTTTACAAGTTTTGTCAAGTATTTGTAATCACACAAAGGTACCTTTCTATTGATGCATATTCAATTCCATTCCTTCAAGTGAAAACATGTTAAAGTTATGCATTTCAGTAACTCAAATCAGAACAGAGTTCAGTTACACCCTAAATAAGCGGAAGTACTTTAGGAAAGGGCTGTTAGTCTGACATTATCTTTTTAAAAGCAACGTGAGTGAATTTTCCTGAAAGTACGAGAATGCCCCAGCCATGCAGAAACACTGAAAACGGCACTGGACACCTCCTGAATAGGATTACAGAAGAGGAAAGTAAATAAAATACCTGTTGTGAGCTCTTGTGTGGTTTCTTCGGCAGTATATTCCTCCACTGTTTCAACGGTGGTACTGAGTGTGGTCCCCGGCTCATTATCCACAAACTCAGTGACAATATCCGTCAAATTATCGGTCAAAAAATCCGTCTCTACATAAGAAAGATCAACCAAACAGGCCACATCGGTAATTTTTAATTGATTTTATGAAGTGTACCGTAACAAAAAAGTCAACATTTTAGGAAATGGTTTCTCATTATTTCAACGCTTCCTTCATCGTAAACTACGCGGCTGCAAGATGCTTTGAACCGTAGTCCGGTGGGTTTTCATTTAATATTAAACTAAGGTAGAGTCCAACGTCTATTTCAAAATGGGAAAAAAATGTTTGTAAAACCTACGAATTGAAACTTGTTATAAAGGTTAGAAGACCTTGTCGCTGCCTACACTAGATTTTCACTTTTCTGTTGCGGCGTCTTCAGTACGATTCTTGTCTGCACGTAAAATATGTTATGCATTTCAGTAACACAAATCAGAACACAGTTAAGTTTCGCAATGCACGAAAAACGGCATATAAAGGCATGCTAATCACGTCTTGCAACGGAATCATAGCATCGTTACAAGGTCATGTCATAACTCATCATTATATTGCAGTTTGTCTTATCTGAGATACTGGGTGAATTTTGGTCAAATAAAGGGCGTCAATTTATGTCACAATTATCAAGCTATTAATGATAACCTCCAAGAACAAATACCACCAATGTCAGGGCAGGAGTCCAGCTTTACTGCAAATAATTTTCAAACGAAATGATACAACCACGGGTTTGTCTATTTTGACCGCAGAGACGCATTTCTGGCCCCATGCGGTCTGCCGTGACGAGAATGCTGGACGCCGACCGTGATCTGCTCTGATCCACGGCCAAGGTTCAAGCACAGCCGGCATGACATCTGTCCAAATGCTGGTCCGATTAATATAATTTCTTGATATTTGGTATTGGGTCAATTGTAGGTCAAATCAAGGACAAATTATTTATGATAAAAGGTTGCTTCCTCAACTGAGATCGCATGCACACAGCTATAACTTATTTTTATTACAAACATCCTGTACAAATTTTGATTACTTAGTTAAGTTCGGACAAGGGGCAAAACTTCTCATTTATGGATATATCTAAATTTTAATTGGCTAACTGACTGAGAGGCTTACTCTGCCTTTTAGACAGAAATCGCACAGGGGAAAACAAAGCGAGTTTATTTTACTTTACTTTACCGAATAGTCGAAATGTTGTAATATGTAGCGTTCTTTGAAAATCTAGAAAGTTTTTTATAAAGTTTTTAGAAAGTATTTAATGAAATGATACCGGTTCACAAGTTCATGGGCTTGCTTTAAGTCATACAGGGCTAGTTTAGTCATATCTACTGCATGCCTGCTGCGCTGAGAGGGAACTTGCAAAGGTGAACACTGAAATCGTACACACTGGTCATACGTCGTACACACTGATCATACGTCGTACCACGGTCGTACACACTGATCATACGTCGTATACACAGATCATGCGTCGTACACATTGATCTTTTCAATCCAATGCATAGTCTCATCCTACAATACCAACTTCTACCGACACTGCAGGGGGTCAGGTGGAAAACAAAACAAAAGAAAGTACTTTGCTCCAATGACGTCAGCGTATCAGTTTCACATTATAAAAACATGTCTGGGTTTCAAGCATCGCACGCTGCGCGCCCCCAACGGCTTAATTGGGGAAGGTATGTGTGAATGAGTGAATGATCCTTACAAGGATATGGCAAGGCGACCAGGTATCACTTCTGAAGATTAACCTTTCAAAGTAAAAGTGTTGATCACAAGAATTCCTCCGTGACGCCTTACATTGGTTTCACTAGAAGGAACTTTTTCGGGGGAGGGGTATGTTTGGCTGTTTTGAGGTGTGTTGCTTGTGAGGCTGGCAAAGCCACAATATTTGTCAAAAAGACTGTAACTAGTAGAAATTCTTTTGCAGCTTATTTCAAGAAATGTTCATTGTCATTAAGCATTTTTTTTATTATTTCTTTCCCCGTTTCCTTGGTCAATGCTGCATACAAAATTAAGAATGAAAACCTTTCCTGTAGCTTTTTTTCGTTCAAAACAATGTGTCTGGCTTTTTCTCAAAATTGTTGGTATCACGACAGAACTGAAAAACCTCAAACACCGGACTCACTTAAAAATACTTCTTGGGTCGAGAATAAAGAAGAATGTTTGTGGTCAGCTTTCGGTAAGAACGAAACAGTTGTCTAGATGAGCGAAGGGTAATGAAATCTAGGCCAAAATTATGGTAGCTTCTCTAGAACAACAGGAACAGGCGTGGAAGTCACAGGGGGTCAAGGGGCAAAAAAAGGAAAATAAACAATAAATAAAAACAATGACATAAAAGGGCATAAAATCGACAATTTGCTTAAATATACCTCGACATGGAACTCTTTCCACTGTCACTGGTTTATCAGTACTTCCCTCCCCAAGAAAATTTGCCAACAAGAACTCCCCCTCCCCCAGAAAATTTAGGCTACACCCATGGCACCAGGAATGTGTCCTGCACACAGACAGAATCTTGTTGGATAACTTTTGAAAATGACAGCCATTGTGCATTACCTTTTTATAAAAAGTATGATTTATAGGTTTTTCCGTCTGATAGAGGTGAGCGCTACTCGGCTCTATTTCATAATTGGTAACAGTCAGTCACTTAATCAATGGGCACATTTTTTTTCATTCATCATGCTATAAAAACCCTACGAGAGAAAATGGTTGAGGGTAGGGTCTTGATTGACACCACAAAACATAACGTACATTACCTGCACACAGTGGAAGAGAATTTTCCACCATGGACTTGAGTCACATTTTCACTTTCGAATATAACACAACTTGTTGATATTTTCTGGCTTGAGAAGAAACTGAAGAAACTGGGAGTTTAAAAGGGCATAAAGGAGGTATGCACGGTAACCCCAAGAATGTCGAGTTACAATTTGATCTTTGTTTTTCCCTACTTTTGTTCGTTGTGCGATTGAAGCACGGGATCATGGTCCTTTTCTCTGTAAGGAATAAGGACCATTTACATGTAAATGTACATGTACAAGTACACTTAATGTGTGTACGTTTAGTTTGTACACAACCGACCAAGGCTGGTCTTCTTCCAAAATGAACGCCCTTACCAACGTTTTATCGTTCACCAAGTGACACTGTGCTGAGAGGGGCTTAATAGGGTACGGCCCGGCAGTGAAGCAAATACATGTACACTGTACATGTACATGCATTTTTGACTGACTCCACGAGAACCATCAACATGCATGTTTGGATAGTCGTCTTATAGCTGTTCTGAACTTGACCTATCACCTAGCTATGTGGACCACTCCCTTGAAGGTTTGACCCGATGGTTGAAGTCAAGCGTCGTTAAATGTGACCCTCAAAGCAGAGTACGGGTAAGGGTCCTTATCGGTAATAGGCTATGCACATATTGGAAGTCTCAATGCAAAAACAGTTAAATAGACAGGGTGAAAGGGTGTATACTTCCACGAAAAAGACTCGATCAAACATGAGGACGTCCTTAAGCACATTCTCCAAAATATATATTAGATACTGTGCACGTTCGTTGAAACTTTTAAGGAGACAAGGAACACGGCTCTGTAGCACACCGCCTACACTAATAGTACAACAACATGCATATTTAAATAGTATTTCCACTAGGGTAATTTTCAGGGTAATTTGGATCATACGGTAGGTTTGCAGCAGAGGTGTTATTTATTTGAACAAAACTGAGTACATGTACCTGTACTTTGGGGCTATTTTGTGCACACAAGAACCAACTGGAAAAAAACTACTAGCAAGCAGACAGGAAGCCAGGCTCCATACTCTCTGAGTGTGGTCTGAGGCGAAGATGATGGTCACACCTCCATTGGCACCGCAACAACACGGGCATTGTTCTCACGAATAGCCTTGGGCTTTGGGGATACCAAGTAATAATCAAGTTACTCCACATGCGGTAAAGATGAAACTTGTGAACAGGGTGGGACTGTCTTTAAAAATGTAGATTGATTCAGATCATGGAGGGTAACAATGAAAGGTATTCAAAATGTAGTTTGTGGTATTGTTTCCCAAAACATAAGAGTCAAAAATTAACATTTGGTCCAGTCATTGAAAATGGAGGATGGGCCCCTTCCAGCTCATTACATATGGTGTCATTCTCAAATAATGTTCGTTCTGTCCTTGCTCTATGGTTCGTTGTATGTAGCAAGCAACAATCAGAAGTGTTATGTCGTCGTTTCCTTGACACCACATAAATTGCAACAGAGGCGAAAATAAAACATGTTGTTTTGCTTAACCCCCAAAATAAAGCCACGAGATAAAAATGAACCCTCTACAATCACTGTGATAAGATTTCACCTCAGTTAAAAAAACCCAGATGTAGTTTTTAAAGCTGACGGTAATAAGGCGTGCATACATTCAGAAACAATGGTCGTACTTGTCTAGTGTATTATGCTAGATAGGTAGCCCTCTGATCGTCGTGGACTTTAAGATATTCTCAAGTTTGCCATGCTGTGGCACGAATTTCCAATCTCAACGGGGAGAGTAGTTGAAGTAATTCAATACTCTTTCAATCAATGACCTAGCCAACGTCTAGGAGACAGAGACGAAAGCACGTTCCCTTGATAAAGAAACAGAACACTGTTTGGAAATAGGAACACAAATTATTGGGCCCTGGAGTCTGAATCAAGACGCAAAATGTTTATAGTATATTACTTTTTTCCGTCCAGTTTGTTTTGCAAACGTCTTATCACCATGTCTGTTTGTTTTATTTTACCAACAGCCAATTAAAAGCAATCGTGTCTCGAATTCCAGAAGCGACAGTCTCGAATGGCAGTGCTCTGCATACGATATGCTGTATGTTGATTTCTCATTTCCACGAGCTTTTGAAAGTGATTAGTTTAAGTCCGAACACGTACATTTACAGGTACAAAGGTAACCTGTGCCCTATTGAAATAAACACAGGTACCCAGGTGTACCCATTAATCAACCCTAAAATTCAGAGAAGACAGAGAAAGGGTAAATTTGATAATGCATCTAACTTGCCAATTAACCAAACACCTCCAACAAACTATGGACATTAATGTAAAATATGCTTTTGCTGTACATGCACCTGTAAGCTGTAGCCCCGTTTTTCTGAAATATTTTACACAAAGGCCTTCCTTTTCCGAAAAGTTACCGTCTCTAATGGCGGTTACAGGTACCCAGCCCTGTGAAAAAATCCATCAAAATTAACGCCGAATTGCCTGGCAGACATGGGTTCCGTGAGTTTTCCCGTAAAATGTGCAGTCTCCGTAACTACAAGTTATATGAATTGTACGGGAAACCGTCAACTTAATAGCCTTACCGGCTTATGCATTTTACAGAAACCCATGGCTACAAGGCATTTTCTATAAATTTACGGGATATTTTAGTTCTATATTTTGTAAACCAGTTTCTGATATCATTGGTCGAGAACTTCAACTAAGATGCTGAGTAACAAGTCCAGAGTAATTGTTTCCAACAATCATGACAATTATTAAGAAAGTTGTTAATAGTTTTAGCCAAAGTCAGCCTCATAATGGGACCGTGCAATACAGTTTTTCTACTATACAGCCCTTGCATGCCTTGATATTGCACCTTTGTGTTTCACTTAACTTTAATTTGCAATTTCCAATACAAATTTGCATAGGCCCATTCATGAGCAAAACGGTGCTGTCATCCAAGGCTGTCACGGTGCCGTCATGAATTTCCATTTCTTTGACGATTTATTGTGTAAGTACCTGTACACGAGGCCATCAGGTTCATGTATATATGGCTATAAGCCAACTAGCATTAGTAATAGTAGCAACCTTTTCTCAGAAATGTTTTGCCAAAAACAAATGTTGGGGGTAGCATAAAAACAAGTAAACTGAACAGGTATGACAGGGGCTCCTTTGATTAACATCTCAGTGACAGCAACCCCACTTAGCTGGAAAAATGGAATATTAATATTAACATTCAAAAGTGCAGTTTCCGATACTTCGATGCCAGAGGATTTAAAACAATTTTCACGCATTGAAGAGGTATAAAGATATACATAAAAAGTGAGTACAAGAAACATTCATTGCATGGATCCTGTAAAGAATGATTAGTAATGTAATACAACGAATAATGGTGACTAACATCTTATTATTATAAGAATATTATTACGGACATTTTCTCTGATTTGCAAAGCTATTATGCTGTATTTGTATACAGTACATACCTGTCGTCGTGTTTACCTCGGTCGTATCCACTGTTTGAGCTGCTGATAGTTTTATCGACATTGTCAAACACAGACAGAAAATGAAAATCACAAGTGGCAGTTGGATGATCTGCAGACATTTCTGACCAGAGCTCTCCACAAGGGAATTGACAAGACGTGAAGCCATTTCGGAAGCAGCAATGGAGGTGAGATATCAAAACGAAGACGGCGAACGATGCACAGAATCGGTTTAAACTATTCACGTACACAATTATAAAAGTACACTAGACGGCGTTGACCACCTAAGAGTTCAGTAAAGTATATTGCCGATATCAAGACAATATGCATGCTCAGTGTATGTATCCAAGTTATCAAGCACCTTGACTTGATAATTTATGCATTAAAGTTGTAGTAAAATGAGGAGTCACGTTCACCGTGACGGCTCTGCAATGCCATCAACTTTACTGACACGAAGACAACTTTCCAGTAAAAATAAACATTCTCCTAGCACCACCAACTAACTCAGCTTTCCCAACTTGCGCAACGAGTACAAGTGCTGCAACCATATAACCCCGGTGCAACACAGACTGAAGTGGTTGCAGTATTCGTGCGGTAGTAGAGAGAACAGGTCCACGTACGTCCTTGATGGAAGTTCTACGGCCTTTATCAAGTAGTCAGTAGGTGATTTCCCAGAAATCTCACTGTTGCTCTATATGTAGATTAACCCATAAACCCCATGCAGTCTGGCTTATTGCGTCTATAATCTCGGAGATACTCACAAATCATTAATTTTACGCATTATTTCTGAACGAATTACCGTATCAAGTGACAAGGTTGATGTGATTATGCCAAGTCTTGTAGGCTGAGGGCAATTTATATCGTACAAGATGACGTTTACAAACATCACAGGCAGACGCCATGAATGACCCTTGATGGTAGTTTACAAACGAGACTCCAAATCAGCCGTCTGTCTTAGTCTTAACATGGAGGTAGGAACGTGAGGTTGAAGGTAGACGGCTGGACGTCCCGATCTGCTCCAAGCGGAACCAAAGAGGGCGTTTTTTTTTTGTTTTTTGGGGGTTTTTTGTACTCACCACACAGGGTTACAGTCCACTCATTCAAGCCCCATTGAAAACAGTGTAAAATCAGGACTGTTCAGGGCCCAATAACATGCACGCCAACATCCCTGAGATTTCTGAAACACAAATGAAATTCTTGTCTGGTCGCTTTTATTTCAATTTCTTTTCAACGTTTCGTGGATTAACCAATTACATTTTTAATTATTGCCATACAACAACATCACGCCCCACAAAGTCTGATTGCAGCTATTTTTCAAGTGGCAACCCTCAACTTTCTCGGGCACTTAGGACCATTATTTAACCGTAGTTTTTAGCCCTTCTGCACTCATATGAAAGCTCAAAGACTCAGGGACTTGATCCTGGCAAGGATTTACACAATCTCACCATTTTTGGGGCCAAACAATCTCCTTTTTCAAAAAATACTGTGGGGGCATTGTTAATGCTAATGAGCTGGCCAGAAATTCTCTCTTGAATAAGTTTTGCCTTCTTTTTCGCACGGGCGGATTAGTATTTCGCCCGGGCGGATGACTATTTCGCCCGGGCGGATTACTTATTTCGCCCAGAGCTTATTAGTATTCCAGGAGACTGGATGCATATAATCGCTCACTTTTTGCAGGGGATGGATCATCCCCCACGTTTTCGTAAAAAGAAGAAAAAAAAAGAATTTTGAGTCCTTTTAAAATTTTTGGTTCGAAATCAATTCAATTACAAAGTTTCTCGTGAAGTGTGCCCAAAGTTTGCTTTTTTTGGGGGGGGAGCTACAGATTGAGGTTGGGGGAAAAGGCAAAATAATTTTTTTCTACATGTCGCAGTCCATTTTTCTTTGGTCTATCCCCCGCCCCAAAAATAAGGCCAGGCCAGTTTTCACCCACTCCACATTTTTCTCTTTAGCCTCACATTGCATTTTTCACGCTTTGGGTCTTCCAGACTTTTTTGAGTAACTCATTACAGTCATTTTTCATCTAATTTTTGAGAATCAGCCCTGCTGTTCTCGCGTAGTATTTGTTTTCCCGAAGCAGCCAGAAACCTATACTTTTCCCGAGTTCGTGGGGGGGGGGCGGAATCCGCCCCCTTGGCTTTAAGGGGTCCCCCATACTTCTGACTTTTTAAGATTAAGAGTGAAGTAATGTTCGCATGAATTCCTTTTAAAAATTACAAGGAAAATGAATGGCTTTAAACATTGTTACAAAATGGTGGGAGGATTGAATCTGTTCCCGTGTGCCTTCCCCGCTTGGACACTGAATACGCCACTGCACTTTATCTAAGAGGGGAAAAGGGACTCCAGGAGGGTACATAGCATTAAACTACGAACCGATCCTGAACGTCAGGGGGATGCAGTTGCTCCTCCCACTGTAAACTATCGAGGAAAACGGCTAAAAAAGGGGGAAAGGGACAAGAACAAAGGAGAAAACGGGAAAAAATAGCTTTGATTTTTAAAGCTAGGTATAGTGCTTTTTATTCCCTTTAATCTATTTTTGTCATATCTTTTTTATTTTGTTGTTATTATTTTCATATTATTTTTGGGAGAAGGCAAGTGCCCTCCCCCCCTTGCGGCGCACATTTACCCATGCGTTACGATGCCAAGTCAGTCTCGATTTGAAACTTTCTGTCTATCACGAGTAAGTCCCCCTTTTTTAAGAGAAACAAAAGGCTGAATCCTGAACAATATGTTCGTAGCTTGTTCCGATGCGTCAAAGACTTGATATCCAAGTAATAGATTCGTTCCGCCATGGCCATGCTGATTTTACTCAGAAGAAATCGACGCATACACGTAGAAGGAAACCATAAACATTAAAGAAAGTGGGTTGATTCAATCCGGGATAGTCCCAAACATGTTTATTTTCCAGGGGACTCCACAAACTAAACAAGTTCATTAGAAACGAACAAAAACAAAAGCACCGATTTACATTTAATTGCCATTTAAACCATAGGCCCTAAGTGTTAAAAAAGATCCTGAAAGTCCAGAAACTTGATTCATATAAATTTCGTCGATTCCAGTCTCTTTGAATATAAGTATTATCAATTAAAGGTGCTTTATATCCTTATAAACAATTAGCTTTATTTTATGAAACGGCCTCCTGTCTGCAGATAAATGTGTCTGTGATATGATGTGATAAACTAGCTTATATTAATCCCTCTCCATTTCTCCATCTCTCCATAAGAGAATCATATGCAAGGAAAAAACTCTTTTCATAATCAAATAAAAAATCTGTAACTTTTTCAGGGGAATGGCAAGACTCTGAGCCTGCGCCCGATCAGACCAGAGAACTGATGCGCTTTTGCTCATGTTTTATGGCTAAAATGTTTGATAGATTCATAAGGGTAATTTTCAATCAGTTCTATTGACATTTCCACTAACTTAATCTGCGGGGGGGGAAAGGTTATTAATTAGGAGAATATCTCTGCCTTTGCTAAATACAGGAGTGAGGGCGCACTTCATGAGTCACTTTGCATCAAAATGGCGCACAAAAATGTCGAGTCACTTCCCCCCCCCCCAAAGGAAATCATTCCGCACTCTGACACACAAATCCACGCCACTCCCCAGGTGGATCACTATTTCGCCCGGGCAAAATACTAATCCGCCCGGGCCAGATAGCAGGCCCAATTTTTTTCAGTCATGTCCTATACTACGAAGCAGAATTAGAGTCAACAAGATCGGAACATGTTTTCTGAGAAATGTAATGCTTTTTTATGTAATGTAATGTTTTTTAAAACAAATCTGGAAAATGTTAGGTCTGTCAAGTTTCATTCGGATTTCGAAAACATGTTAGGTCTATAAAATTACATGCGAATAAGATATATTAGGTACGAAAGATTTCATCCGGTTTTGGAAAATGAATTCAAAAATTCAAAGTACGGTCTGTTTTAAAAAACATTACATTACAACAAAAATTCGATTTTTATAAAAGCGTTACATTTCTCGGAAAACATGTTCCGATCTTTTTGACTCTAATAATTCTGTTTCATACTATACACGCTTCCGTACGCGCCAGGAGGCGCGCAAGTAAAGGATTATGAACTATGGAAGGGCTGTGTAGCACCGTGATCAGAATATCGACGAGAATATAATATCAAATCAGTGCTCTGAAATATGTGATTGCCACTTTAGAGCACTGATTTTATATTATATTCTCGTCGATATAAAGGATTACGAACGTTTGACGCGGAGCACACTGAGTACGCGTAATTTATTCCGGCTTGTATGCGGTTCGTAAGTGTGACGTCACTTCAGTTTAAACCACGCCTACTGCACACGTGGACTGCACATAGGTTTACATGCATTGATCGCCGTTTACATGGAACCATGGAACCGGAAGTTAACGCTCAACGTCAGCGATTCTCCAATGAGAGCCTGCAAATCGTAGCGCGTCTGCCTTTGTGACGAAGTCACTTCCGAAACCGGACAGAGTACCGAAGTGAATACGTCACTCGCACAATTATGTGTGTAAAAATCAAATTATAAGAAAACTACGGAGCACTGATGATAAGTATAGTAATGTAAGAAAAGCAAAGAAAGAAAAAAATGCTCACCGATTTGCTAAGGTGCACCGATCGCTTCACCGATGTTTCATCGATACCCCCAGAGGATGATTCACGTGTACTTCAGCCAACTTCGTGTACTGTATCTCCTGCCAACAATGCGGTGTCCACTTTGTTGATGAAACGAAACGGCTCTTGGCCGATAGCTGACCGATTCACCGAGCACATGCGAAGCGTCTGTCGTCAACTCCTAGGGCACCCTGTATAGCGTGCCACCTCACCAAGGCACCACACACCTGTGACGACATGTGCGTGTGTGCTCTAACCATGACAACCTCAGACGCTCGGCGCTTGGAGACAGAACAGAGCATCATATTCCGGATAGGAACACTGACGCCAGGCGGTTTGAATGTGGACTTTCCTGCATTCAAACCACTAGTGCCCCCACACCTCCAATGAAGGCCTAGTGGGGCCGAAAATTCAGTACCTTAGCAAACCGGTTTACACTGTTTTTTCTTACTTCGCCCCGCCCGTACTATGTGTGTGACTGGGCATTAAAGCGAAAACCAGAGCGCGAACCAACACGCGCACGTACTCCATTCGTTTACACTGGGTGCGTTCGATTAGCTTACACGTGTAAGTCAAACTTACACGAGAGCGTTCGTTTATCCATCACGTGATCCTCGTGCCTGTCCTGGTGTCAGCCACCACTACCCCGGCTGGCGAGCGGGTCTCAGGAGGCTGCCCGAGTTTAATGACGCCACGAATGGACCATTCGAGCTGGATATGATGGAACGTGACGGGGACTGGAAACCTTTTTCCCAGAATGCCTTGGCGAATACACTGCAGCGTTCAATTAGCTTCATTTCGAGGCTTCACTTACGTGTAACACTGGTTTATTTAGGGAAGCTATTCGAACGCAGCCACTGCACTTTATGGCTCACAATGACCTACTCCGGCCGACAAGAATATATAATATCAAATCAGTGCTCTGAAATATGTGATTGCCGAGCTTTCGGTAACCGAGTACCTTCTTCACGGCAAGCAGATTCAGTTCACTCAGTAGTGACTAAGTCCTTTATGAACGACTTCGTCACAAAGGCGGACGCGCAACGATTTGCAGGCTCTCATTGGACAATCGCAGAAGTTGCGCGTTAACTTCCGGTTCCATGTAAACGGCGATCAATGCATGTAACCCTATGTGCATGCAGTGCACGTGTGCAGTGCACTGTGCAGGGGGCGTGGTTTAAACTGAAGTGACGTTACATTTACGAACCGGATAGAGTACCAAAGTGTGACGTCACTGTGAACCAGAAAGTGTAGTGCAAATGAATGGAGTACGACCGCGAGTTGGTTCACGCGCTGGTTCTCGCCTTAATGCCTTTTACACATTATTGATTTCGAATTTTCCCTCTTGAGTGTCCAGTGTTACACTTCATGTACTGATATAAGTGAAAAGTGTTCAACCTTACCCAAGGGCGTCGCCAGCTAGGAAGGGGGGGGGGCTCAACAAAGACTCATCAGGAGATTCATTCCGATGCATTTTCACAGAAAACGGTAATTTTCATCCAACAAATTTGTCTTTTTGTTTTCTTTTCCTCCGTGGTTTTCTTAATTATTCTTGTTCTTCCTAAATGGGGGCGTTTCCCCCCTTGCCTCCCCCAGTCCCCGGCACTATTAGTATTCGTTTATTGCTACTTGCGTATAATGTATACACAGTAGAAATTGTAATAGCTCTTGTGCTAATAATACACATATGTAAGAATGCATATTAAAAATAATAATAACTTCCCCGAAAACGTGTAAAACAGAGGGAACAGAGGTTCCAAAATCGGTTGGAGGTGAATAATTGGAAATGGTTGTCCAACAGTTATGGGCCTATGACCTTGAGTATAGGGCTGATAGTGTATAACTGTGTAGTTTGGCTATGTAGTCTTGCGTCTGTGAATTTCCAACTTTCTCAGCTGCATGCTGGAATAATTGTTTGTGACTGCAAACTAGGGTTAATTTTTTTTAATGTTTGTTGATAAGGGTTAGGTTTGGCCAACTATAGGGTAGAAATTCGCACACAGGGTTTGCCCTTGACCGGGGGACGCAGTACAGAACTCATGTTTTGAAACTCAGACTCTACGCTGGACCAATCAGACTTTTGAGTTTCAAAATCTGGGCAAGCAGCCCATCGCTCTCCTATCTTGCAATACCACATTACATCCACCAGTCAAAATGTTTGAATTGGCCAAAAAAGTTTTCAGGCAAGCCAGTGGTTGTTTCCCCCTCCATCAGGCTTGAACATGGACGGGAAATTTGCTGAAGTTACTATGGCGCCTAATTGAAAAAAAGGAAATTTCATCAACGATTATACGTTTTTAGAGAAATGTAAGAGATTCCTCATTAAAAACATTACACATGCACGAGAAAAGATACTTCTGAGTGGTTTCTCAGCTTGGGTGAGTGCCAGTACTGTCAAAAACAAAGCTGTCCAGTACACGATCGCATCCTTGTTTACTGACTGCATGAATCACAGTCCGACAAAGCAGCAAAATCGGACAGGAAAGAAAAAAGAGAACTTATTCTCCATTACAGTCACGATGATACATTTGCAGATCATTCTGAGCCACATCAGACACCCCGACACACTGACATGGAAGGCGCCCTCTTAAAAATAGAGGTCGCCATCTTGGATATATAGGTTGCAGGCTAGTAAATAAACTGCCATAGCCAACAGTGATAAATATCCGAACTTCAAAAAATCAGGAAAATACTCACGAGTTTCTAAGCCGTTCAAGACGCACATCAAATTAAAGCCCAGTTTATGATTTGTCACCATCTTTTCAAATTTCCATTCATTAACTGATGACTTTTGAAGATATTTATTTCCACGGAAGGTCACCCCTTAAATGCACTCGTGAAGCCCCTCGCCATTTTGAAATATCGATGCCTACACTTCTAAAAAAAAAAGACAGTTTCCAGGAACCTATTTCTTCCAAATCTCACTCAGTCGGAAGATGGTATTCTCTTTGCCCGCCTAAACCTGTTAATCTTCACGTTCATGGGCCACAAAATGCTCTATTTCGTAGAGAATTTGAGTGCATAAAAATTGTGATTTGGCCCGTGCAAGTAGTTTTCGGCCTATTTACTGGCCTGCATCCCTGGAGAACCCGTACCCCCGAGTACATGAACATACTTATATAGAAGTACATTTACACATTACCACAGTAAAGACAATTAAAGAACTCGGGTGATCTTTTGCCACCAACCTATAATCAGTATCCCGTTTCGTCAGAAATAGTCAGGGTATTTGGCAAACATCAAAAATGTTTTCAGTTGTCAATAGAAAACTGCAAAATTGGTCCGTCGGACTCATTTGTAATTCTGTGAACATCGTGGGCATATAAACTTATCTCAGTAATCTTGATTGGGGAAATTGTGTCCGTCTCAATCATAATACTGGCCGATTCCTTAAGGAAGTTGCCACCCAGATCACTTCATGTAAACCTCCAGTACTCCCGTTCGTCCTGCCTCTTCATGGTCACATCTGTCTCATCCATGCTTCCTCCATTCTCTAATATCCCGTTGTGCTAGCCCCCTCAGGTTACAAAATGATATCCATAAAAAATGCAGCTAGTGATGGGCCCCTGGGCTATGGCCTAGTTTCATGGCTAGACGTTCGTTTCCCTTCTCATTCGTGTTTGTTAGTCCACAGAGGAAGAAAACGTCGTCAGCAAGAGTTTCATTCATGCCACGCGGCCCTAACTATTAAGGATCACTGAAGCGGAGCGGTTCAACTGTGGGCACACCCATGTGTGTCAGTCGCCGAAAATGTACTGTTGTTGTTTATGCATATGCTGAGACACATTCAGTAAACTCGAAACCATCACAGCCTACACAGTACAGCACTGTACAGCCAATTTTATCGAAAATGTGACTGTGAACTGACACTGATACATTCTTCACTGGTGACACTGGCGAAGTGGACTCATTTCAGTTGTCAAGACCTATCCAACTGTACTTTAAATGCAGCTATTCAACGTTGGTGACATAACGACGTTAGCATAACTGGCTCAAGTTTGTTCACTGCTGTTCTGAAAGAAGTAAGTATGTACTTGTAAAGTACCACATGTATAGGGATGCAGTCTATAGGTTCTGAATACAGAATCTTATTCTTAATCCTATCTTATTTCATGTTTAAAATGGAGAAGAAACCCAGATCTGTAAAATTTAAATAAAAACAAAACATTTTTCTCATATGCTGTTAATAGTTATGTACCTGTGTGTATAGAGAGATAAACATTACATGTACATGTGGCATGTTGTTAGTGGTTGTTTAAACTGCTGGTGATGAAGGTGTTGTGCTCATGCGTTGCCAGTGGTGGTGATGGTGTCAAGCAGTATCGATGATAATGTCAACGAGGACCACAATGGTGACAGTAATGACAACGCGTCATAATAGAAGTGGACCGTAGAAGTAACATGCTGAGCAATGGGTTCGGAGATCACAGCTTATTTCTATGCGGTCCCCACTAAGTAAAGGTGCACTTGTCTCACCGGCATCCTAGTTGTGGAAGCGTCACGGCCCTTCAATAACAAAGTTTGAAAATGAGTCTTAATTGGGTTGTCCATCAAAGTTTTAAGTGTTACAAACGCAGACAGGTTTTAAAAAGAACAAGTGTTAATCTCGATCGAGGAAAGGATTTCAATACCTGAGTACGGTAAATTTGTTGACTTTCAGGACAATCAAATATTGCGCAGGTCTGCTACGACATCCTTTTCGAGGCGGGCTTCTAAATAGATATATAAAGTGAGAAAGACGTTGTTATATAATCGCCTATCAAGGTATACATGTGTATCCTGTTTGTGGTGCTACCAACAAGGTTAGAGCTTTTCGGTTGGAGTCCAATTTGAACTTTTTGAATTTTGAAATTTTCAGTTCACGCCGTCTGGATCACAGGTCTGATCAAGGGGAAGGGTATTGGAATTGTTTTGGTAGAGTGCGAGACATCCCAGCCACCGATCTTAAGATCCTGATGACACTGGCTATCAGTCAGTGTCAATGCAGTATTACCATGGAAACGGAAGGTGAAAAGGGATCGGCTTCTTCTGATGTATGGATGATCGACGAACCCTTGAAGACACAACCTGATTGCCTATGATGGCATTCTGGGGACTTTTCATCCCTCTATTGGGGGTGATGGGTGTTGGACTTGGGTTCCCGACAGGCGCCCCAGCAACAGTTTGTATGAATATGACACCAGGGCACAGGGATACGGTTGCTATGGATACTGCATCTCCTTACAGGCTGGTGGTGGATGACTCAATAGTGGCGCCAGGGGGTGTAATAACAGGTAAGCCAAGTTTGTTATATTCCAAGGGGGTGTCAATGGTAAAAGTTCTTTGATGATATCAAAATTATAGCTACAGTCAAATAATCAATGCAATAAACTGGGGAATTAATAAGATGTATACTTTACTGCAAAGAAATAATAAACGTCTCTTATTTGGCTGGCATACACCAGGTCTTTCCCCTTCACATGCCTAGCGAATTGTAAGTAAGACTCCGAAAATGTTACGCTATTCCTCAAAATCTTCACAATTTAATCACGAAGTACCCAAAGTTTTATATCATATTTTCAAGTGCAAGAAGAAAAATTGTTTAGAATTCTGCACTTTCCGTTTGAAAGTCAGAATTAGATTAGTCCTTACATTAAAAAAGACTTAAGCAACAAAAAGTGCACTGGAAATGCCAAGAGAAGGTTGGAAAGGAATACTATTTTCCAACGAGTACTAGGGCTTGACTCCACTATGGGTGGAGGTACAATTGATGTACAATAGTAGCTTTTGTTGTTGTAGGATACCCCATCCTTTATTGTATTTCTGTGCAATGACCGTGAAACTCAAATTCTAGGTGACGTATCTGCATGTCTGAATACCATAATTGCACAATGTGTGAAATAGTGCATATAGGTTGTTGTATTGCCGCGCATGCACGCCGCAGAGCCATTTGGATCTACATTGCACAGACGGATACTCGGAATACGGGGATGCACTTTGTCACTATTTTCGTTAAAAAGTCAAATTTTGGATCAAAGGACCCCCATGATGCCGCACGATGGTCCCACCATGATTTATTAATTTTTCCAGTCATTTTCCATCACTTCTATCAATTGGAAGTTGAGGGACCGTTTTCCTATGCAGAAAAACCTAATAATTACATTCATCCAAAGAACCTCGGCGAAGTCCTGTACTGAGTAGTAGTAATGCGTGTTTTGTGTTCCGTGGACTTCATGAATTCAGCGATTGTAAATCTCCCTTTTGTATCATTGCGAAGATTACAATCTGGCATTTAATACAAATGATTTACAGCAGGCAAAACCAACTGCATTTAGAGCTGCATATGGCGACGCTACATGTATAGGCATTTTGTCAGTTGCCTCCAGGGATGTGTGGCCTGCAGTTGTACACAGTCTGTAACTCCCGTCATAATGATGGGGGTTCCAATCAAGCAGTTGGCCATATTAGGTTCATCACTTATCCCTACTTGAGGGCTTAAGGTGTCAGGTTGTGCGTTTACTTGTAAGGAACTAGGTGAAATGTTTTTCATAGACTTGGCACTAACTGTCGACTTAAATTGTGGGCCTTGACTCGTCTGCGTCAACTTGGGACCAATACCGGAAATTATAACTTTATTTTAGGATATTGTATTTATCGGTATTCGTAGAAGTAATCATGAACTCAGTTTGCTTTGAACTTGAGAAATTTGTATCACATGACCAAAACACTCAGTTTTGTAACCACTTGACACATGGTCCACTGGGACAAATAAAAGTTTAGTCTGGTTCCCAGGTCCAATATTACCCATGTCACGTGACAAGAAGGGGGGATAGGCCTACTCCGAACTCACTGTGGTCATTCTTCGGTTAATATCATGGAAGATGGGACATTTTTGGCCGCATTTACTGATCAGCGGATGAATATGTAATATAACATGCTTTAAAATCGCGTATGGACGGCGGTGAATCATGGAATTCTTGAGTTTACGTTCTAACTGAAGCTCTTGGTTGGCTCGTTTTGTATTCAAAGATAAATGCAGTGCTGTAAATTTGGCAAAGCAAAGAGACCGACGTGACCGACAACGCCTGAATCCCCTTCCGACAACGCCTCAATCCAACGAGGCCAGCTGACAATTCGGTTCAGTTAATTTGTGTCTTAATGTCAAAAATTCTTGTATATTTTGTGCCATTGCTCATTATGTAAAGTACATCCCGAAGTGAAATCAATGAAACAAAATGGCTTCTAGCTGAGGGTGCAGTCCACTAATTCAAGCCCCCGTTGAAAACATATTGTTCAGGGTTCAATAACATGCAATCCAACATCCCTGGGGTTTCTCAAAAAAATTAATTATTGTTTGTCCTTAACCTTTTAAATTTCTTTTCCTTTTTCTTGGGGGGACCGATTACATTTTTAATTATTCAAACACAAAGACACCCCAAAGGGAAAATTCAGAAGTCTGCATGCAGCCATTTATCAAATGTTATCCCTGTACTTTAGGGGGAAGTTAGGATCATTTTCCGACTGTATTTTTTAGCCATTCTGCCCGAAGACTCAGGGGGTTGATCCTGGCAAAGATTAAAACAATTTAATCATTTTCAGGAGCCAAACAATCTGCTTTTTTCAAAAGAAACTGCAAGGGTATTTTCACGCTAATGAGCTGGGCCAAAATTATTGCATGAATTAGTGGACTGCAGCCCTGAAACCGCAGACTTCATTTTAATATGGCGTCCGTGGCCCGAACGGGGCTTCTCACGTACGCGTTGTGTTATAGCTGTACATGTACATGTACATGTATTTAGCCGCGGGTGATAACTGACGTATAAGGGTGCAGTCTACTAATTCAAGTGAGAATTTTTGGCCAGCTCATTAAAATTGCCCCCATAGTATTTTTGGAAAAGGAGATTGTTTAGCCCCCAAAATGGTGAGACTGTGTAAATCGTTGTCAGGATGACCTCCCCAGGTCTTTGAGCTTTCATATGTACGCAGAATGGAGGCTTGAACTTGAATTCGTGGACTGTACCCTGAGATTTTATGTATTCAGGAATACTCAGGTCAGGGAACCAGACTATGTAATTTTCCCGCTTTTTACGTATTGTAGTGCTGCACACTTTGTGTGATGACCCCCGAAGGAACGTCACACACAGGGTAGAGTGTCTTTCGCAGTATCAGGGTTTTTAGGTTTTCTTTGTATGCACGTATCTGAGTCGTTATGAATTCGTTTTTTCTAGTGTGATTTTTTCGGTTTATTTTTGATTTTGGTTTGTTAGTTGAGTTAGGTTTTGGGTCAAGCGTGGGGTTAGGATCTGAGTTTTAATGTAGGGTTTGGGACCGGGATCAGATAACTGATGCATTAGATGGGACTATCTCTTAAAGAAACCAGTCGTACAACGGGAAGTAAATTGCTTCTGCGGTTTTAATTGCGAAGGTCAGACATTATGGGAAGGACAAAATAATTGGAATATGTCAAGACATACTATTTTGCTTGTCATGGTCCGTCTTTACAGTCACTCTCACCAGCAGAGAGGAATCGGAGGTTACCTTCCGTGGATTCTTACTTCAGGCACGACGAGCCAATGACGAAATCTCAGACGCAGTGGGTCAATTCACTTACCGTGACAGCAACAACAGAATAAAGACCTTGGCTTGCAATGGGCGAGTCTCTAGCGCCCTCACTCATAATGACCGAGGGCAAAAGAGAACACTACAAGCAAGGTGGACAGCACCTTGGAATGTCGAGGGGCCAGTGCATTTCGTGTAAGAAGTTGTTTTTAACTGAGTCTGTCATCCCAAACTTTTAGAAATATACAGGGTCACTCTCAGCCCTGCAACCTTTTCTCTTTGAAAATAGCTCCCTCGACCGAGAAACAGATAAGAGCGACTCCAAGTTTTGACTGCAGGGGGGGGGCGCAACAATTGTTCAACTTTATAAAAGACACAGCCCATTTGGTAAAAGTACCATTTCTCAATGTTGTCAGAAATATGTCTTGAAGGAAGCAAGTACCCCCTCACTAGATATGCCACTGAGGTGAAGATGAAGCAATTTTTGAATACAGCCTAATATATTCAGTGGCAGACTTACATCTGTTCCTCTACCGCTTTTTTCCAGAGCCACCGTTGTGAAGTCAGTCAACGAATACTGGTTGGGGATCACATCACCAATAGTGAACATCATTAAACAGCCTCTTAACCCCAGGAGCACCCCTGAAGCTCACTCAAGCACAATTCTAAGAGCCACATCATCCACTGACACGAAGTTCGATGAGTCGACAACAGTTAGCAGTCGATCAACCATGGGTGAACCCCATCAAGAGACCAAGTTGACAAGTACAGAAACAAGCAGAAATCGAACGAGTTCTCAAGGTGTTACAAGCGTTACTGCAAATTCTACAACAGTGTCAGAAGCGACAACTCATTTATCTTCCATTACACTGTCAAACCTCACTCACAGTAGTAACAACTTTACACACGCAGGAATTGCAGATTCTACAACGTTATCAGAAGGAAGTATGGCGTCTCCCACGGTTACATCATCACTCAGCATTACCAACAACGCCGAAAGTTCAACTTCAAGCCCAGAAGAAACATCAACCCAACCAGCACAAGCTGCCCATTCGACGATTCCACTCATTACGACTTTGGCCAGGACAGTTAGCACCATCTCGTCGTCAGCAACAATTTTCGAATCAACCTCCATAGACACGAACACACCATCAGCGATTGATTTCAGTTCGTCAACAAGCTCTGATTCAAGAATTCTTTCCACAGCAGAGTTGATGTTGAACGTAACAAACGTTAGTGGATCTACTACACATACCGATTCTATATCAGCCAATGAAACTGAAGCAGTTAACGATTTTTTCACAACGCAACCAGGTGAATTTCACACAACCGACTCTATAATGGAGACTACCACAACAAGGCAGGCTTTTAATGAGTTTGAAACGAGTACATTGACTGTTCAAACACCAATGTCTTCGCAACATGAAAGCACCACGGTATCCAATACAACAGAAGATACGGTTAATTCGTCAGCAGAGTCTTCCACGCTGGCAGTGGAGTTATCAACCCAACCAACAAACCTATCATCAGAGCTTTCAGTGACATCGTCTGAAAATTCATCCGCAGTACATGAAAGTACACCTACTTCATTTGGTCTTTCCACATCACTTCCAGATGCTACAGTCAGTGGAAGACATAATAATACATCCACTAGGCCGTTGCTTGCATCCACAGAGCCACTTGTGGATACAGTTTCAATGTCATATGATGTATCCACATCTCATGCTAATGTATCATCGCCGTTTTCTACCACTGTGTCAACACCGTCAAATGACATAATAAATACATCAACAGCTACAGCTTTTCCTTCACCTGTAAGTACAACAGCGCTTGAAATGACCACGACATTAAGTGATCTTTTGTCCAACACGCAAGGAAAAACACCCCGCCCATCAGATGACAACTTCGTTACAGACGCCGTCAACACAACAGAGACAATAAAATCTTCAACAGAAACAGCTCCTCCTTACAAATCACCTACGCATGCGTTGACAACGACGGAAGAAATCACACAAGAATTCACAAACAGTACGAGGGAATTCGACACATCAGCAACTCCTTCGCCTGAGACTACTAATACCATTGGGGAGACAGAATCCCCGGCTGCACTTACATTGCTATCGACAAGCATAGTCATGACAAGGGACTCTACAAGTGAACCGATGATGGCTACAATTGAATCAACGACAGTATTCTCGACGACGAGTGGATCAATGTCACTACAACCAACACACCCACCAACTATTTCCACGTCAAATGCCGGTTCAGAGCAAGCAACAGTAAGGCCAGAGATGTCTACGCCTTATGTCATCAACGGTAAGATTTTCAAAAAGCATTGCCATCCAGTAATGACGTACTTGTTGCTCTCCTGACATTGTTGATGTATCTTCTAACAAATCCCCAAAGTAGGCCTACACCGGTAAGTCGGACGTGATAATGGATTACCGGTTGGTTGTTCCTTTTGTCACATGCCCAACCTCCGCTTGTGCCAGTTTTCTTTTTGATTCATTCCGATTATCGATTCTTACAACAGATCATATGCACAGTTTTACACACCCAGTCGTTTGTTTCCAACTTCACTGTGAAAACCTTGAGCAAATTTTGGGCACTGCAGGGTACCAGGTGAATTCTTGACTGTTGGGCAAACAGATCACAAAACAGCAATGATTCTCAACTGATATGCGGAGAGCTTTTATTTGCCCAACAGTGCAAAACCTATTTTTTACCCACGCAACATTTTGATAATTTGCCAAAAGTTTAGAGAGTAGGCCAAATCTTGGTGCTCAATGTTGGCTTAAAATTGCCATTTTTCCAGTGCTGGGTTTAATTTGCAATACAAACACGACAACTCGTCTTACCTGACTGAAATATTATGTAATTTGCAAAACAGAGAAGGCAAACGAAATCCGACTGAGAGTGTCGATTGAAGGAGTTCCTTTCACGGACAATCTCAAAGATCCAACCTCAGAATCTTTCATGAGAATAGCGGGTCAGGTTGAGAAAGAGGTAAGCCAATTTGTAATTGCGGGATGTGTCAATTTCATGGACTTGAACAAGAAAGACCTGTTGATGGGGTCATGCCGGTTGAAATAGGGTTCTCTAAAAACTATACCAGTTTCACATCTTGTGAGGGCCGTTGATTGAAAGATGCACCTTGTAAAGCTTACTCATTAGGGATGATACTCGAGTCAACTCATGCACAATCCCTAATTTATGTAACAAGAGAAACTAGAAAAACCATCTCACAACTTGTTGGTTGACGTTAAACGTCCTGCGAGGTAGGAAAAGCAGCTAGCATTATTCAAAGGAAATTCAGGCCAAATCCCGTTCGTTTCAGCTTAAAAACCTTTTGTGGCATTCTAACTAATTTTGTCTGTTACCCCTGTGAATATTTTCTTTTCAGATCTCAGATTTATACAGACGAGAGGCTGTGACGACGATTGATTGCATAAAAGTGCTGAGAATTACGTAAGTGGATAAATTGCTAATATTTGCAACTACCGAGTGTTCTCTGATTCAACTTTGATTTGTGTTACATGTAAAATATAACAAATCAGCAAAAATAGAAAAGGGAAGTTTCATCACTGTCCGTACATGCACATGTATTTTCAAAAAAATAAATTTTGCACCGTTTAGGACAAGTATTAACGGTGTCAACTCTAAAGCGGTGTTTCTGTCGTGCTATCGCAAAGAGTTTTATACTATAGTTATTAATCACTGATGTCCTGTTGGATCTTTCAGGCAAGGCAGCATAGTCCCTGAGGTACAAATGCTAGCAACAGGAGACTTGGATTGGTCTACAAAGTCAGCTTGGCTTAGTGTCATGTATAATGAAGTACAAAATAACGGAAGGCTAGGGAATTTCACCGTGTCTGGCATATCTGCCGTCACATCTGATGGTAAATTTCATACGGCATAGTTTGACTCAGATTTCTTTAAACTGTTAGTGGTGGCACAGTAACAGGAAATAATTTGACTTATTCTGTTTAGTTGATGGGAATATTGCGTTGTTATAAATGATTGAACGACCGATCTTGTCACCCTCCTAGGCACTTTTGTTGAAGTCGACCCATGCTTCTTGCTCCCCTGCCCGGTGTCAATGGTGTGCTACGTCTATCAAAGTAGTTGTTTCTCGAGCTGTCGCCTAAATCAAAACTACTGTCTCAATGGTGGAATTTGTCAAGAACCCACAGGAAACAAGCAGTTGGTGTCTTGCAGGTATGCGAATACGTTATAGTTAAAAGGATTGTTGAAGGTCACCTTGTTTGCACGGTCGATGCAGTGTAATTAATTTATCACAGGCCTTGGGGGTGCATCTTATTTCCAATTTTTGATTTGCTATTTAAAGAGTATTTTGGCACCTTTGGGGTTTTATGTTAATGTAAATTCCCACTTTACTAAAAGAAAACAAACTACGCCTTTCTGCTCATAGACACTACGACCCCTTACATATGATTCGCATAGGTGTCGCAAGGTCCTCCCCTCTGCGGGAGAAACTGAAAATAATAAAGAAAAATGAAAACAATCAAAAGAAATGACCAAGAAAACGAAAACTACCAATTTACTTGCACATTTTTCGAGATTGACCCCCACCAGTAGTTAACAGTTTGTCCGTTGGTGCAGATGATTGCTTTGCCCCAACAAAAAATCGTCGTGACGCCCACAATGGTTTCCCTCTGATCCATACACTCTTGCAGCCTCGTAATGGGCAAACAAATTTATATTTAAGTGTACCATAGAAATGACATATTACCCGATTTAACTCTTACATCAATTACATAAAGTGGGCGGAAATATATTCCAAGTGAGTGCCTGTTTGCTTTGGGGGTTTCTTTTTTGAACATTCTTGTCCAGTCCTTTATCTTGATTATAAAGATGAACAAACAAGTTTGCTCGAGCGGAATTTGAACCTGCGACTTCTGTGATACAGTACCAGTGCTCTACTATCTGAGCTATCCAGCCCTATGTTGCTGGCTTTTCCCATTTGTCAATAATATGGCTCTTGACCTTGACAGCTCTGTGTTTCATATTTACCTTTTTATCCGATTTCAACAGGTGTGACAGCAGCCATGAAGGTGTTCGATGTGATGTTCGAAAGGAACCTGTATCTCCTTCTCCAAATGGTAAGAATGGCGCATGGGATCTGATTTTCTTTTTAAATGAGGTTGCGGGTTAAACAATCGCTACCGCTGCTACAAGTGGACAAAAATTATCGAGCTCATGACAACTTCATTCTTGAGGGACTAAGGTTGACTGCAGCAACTGTGGAGTGTATTGTTCAGAATGAGATCGCAATGATATCAGCGGATACTCTGAGCATTTAGGTGGCATGCTCAAAATAATTGAGAAAGCCCTATTTTTCTGATAATATTTAAGATTCCTTTATTTGTCATCAGAAGTGGACAATTCTCACGTGATCGTAGCTGCTGTATGGGGATCCATAGGTTCTGTTTGTTTCGTCTTAATCATCATCTTCTCTTCCTGGCTGATAAGACGCATGAGAAAGAAAAGACAGTGGAGGTAACGTCCGCTTGCTTTATACAGTGCCCCTGTGCCGCCCCCCCCCACTTAAAATCTCCGTTGAAGTTAGCTGTGCACAGTTTTTTTTCCTATGGTGCCCCTTGAAAAAAATGTGGGCACCCCGGGTGCCCCTCGGACACTTGACACTGGTTACGTCACTGTGTAAAAATACAAGATTTAATTCGTCAATGCTTGGTGCTTCCTGAAAGCTTAAGGTGGGGCTCGACCAACGCCCTAGTCAATGGAGTTTAAGGCAGGCCTTAGCCTATATAGGAACGTTAACACCAGCTAATTCAAATTTTACTAAGTTTTAAAGTCCAGTCAGATGAAAATAACTCGACTATATATCGTTTTCTCTTGTCGTTCAGACACACAGCCAAGTTGATGGGAAACACTGAGATGGGATTACAAAGTCGAGAACGAATGGATAGCTTCGCACGGCGTTTGACGTCAATCCGGGCTGGAGTCCTGATAGATTTAGCGAACATCAGCCTCAGCGGCAGTGAGGGAGATAGTACCGAGACAGGATCGAGGCAACTTTCCCGCGCTACATCATTCTCTGGCGAAGAGTCTGTAGACCATCCTAGGTTCATTGAGGGCGGTGTCCACATTGGTGGGATGCCAGACATCTTGCAAGGAGCCTCGACCACAGACTACGAGTTGGACTTAATGAACAGACCCCTCAACCAAAAGAGAAAATCCGTCAGCTTTAATGATGTCACGGAGATGATCGACTTTGTTGCCACAGAGAATTTCACCCTCGGCAACCAAGACGGAACAGACGGTAACTTTCAGGTGCGATGGGACTTTAAAGTCGATCGCTCCGACTCACAAGAGACAGACTCCTGACGGTAAGCGCCGTCTTCGTTGGTCCCTGCTGCCTCTCAGACTGCTGGTTCAGCTGAGGTAGCACAAGCCTCTTTGTTTGGTGATAATCCATTGTCGTCTACTTATTCCTTCACTCACACTTACTTCTAGAGATTATTTAGATTTTGAATTTGCAGCTGTCTATGTGATTACTATTTTACTTTTGACAATCAAAGAAGCACAAAAATATCCCGTCAAAACGACATTTTGTATGGAATTTACCGTTTACAAAAATTAATGCACTTCAAAACGTGTGCCTTTGTTTGAATTGCAACTCAAGGAAATTTTCTAGTAATAATTCCGAAATTTTTTTGATCATTTAAAACATGGCAGCACACTTCTCTGGCTAAAACGTAAACCATACTTCACCAAAACTAACCACGACAAAGAGGTTACAGGGACCCGCGACGACGGCGTACCATTTTCTTTCCGTCCAATGAATTCGCGTTTCCAGAGGGTACCTCCCCTGTAAGAATTGTCCACGTTTGGATCATTGTCAACGAACACTTTCAGATGAAGTGTTCTTTAATTTAACAATAATTCTTTTCTTGTCACCCGTCGTCCAAATAAGGCGATGGGAAGGGTAAATGCAAAACAATATTGTTGTCAAGGAACTTTTAGATAGACTTCATTTGACAATAACACAGGTCAACACGCCCTATTGCACATGACACGTGCGTACTGAAAATAGCACAACAGGCCTATGCAGGCATTAGGGCCGTTTTCCAATACTCAACTTTGGCTCCGTCTCAGGCTTCAACTGTTTTTTACTACCTGACTTTGAAATTGTAAGCGCACTAATTAGTCTAATAGTGCCACAAAACATCAAATAAGATGCAAGAGAGCAAAAACTTACAGTAATCCTATTTGATTTAAAAACTTCAGGCCCACAATTCGGGATTGATTTTGGGGATGAAGCCTGAGACGGAGACAAAGTTGAGTTTTGGAAAACGGCCTAGGTCAAAAGTACACATTTGTGTTTCCTGGTTGTGACGTATTTCCTTCACGAAAATTAGTGAAAAGCATTTTGTGCTTCTTATAGAGCTTTGTAAGGGTTGTGAGGGAAGCGGCCAAAATGTAGTTCAACCTTCCTCTATATTTGCCAACTGTATGCAAGTCCGGACAGTTTAAACATCTACTCAGCAGCGTATCCGGCTGTTGGTGTCGGGTGGGGGGGGGGGCAAATTCAAAAGCACATCCTCCTTTGGGTCATTCAACATGATGTTGGCGGAGAAAACAATATCGAAAGTCTACTCACGGTCCCGACATCCCTGCTTTTATCTCATGGTGTTGTTTTCTTAGAGTTTTGGTGCTAATATTTGATAAATTACATATCTTTATTAATATTTTATTTTTAAAAATCCGTCAGGTAGGTAAGTTGATATTTGATAAATTAAATAGTTCTATTAATATTTTACTTTTAAAAGTCTGTCAGGAGGGTAAGTCCCCCCCCCGGCATGACAGTAAAGTTAGTTTGATATTGGACATTGGACTTTCCCATAGGATTGTACAGCGAATGTCTGATTTTTCTCGACATTGGACATGCCCTGTACAAACCTATGGGAATGTCCAATATCTAACTTTACTGTCACCCCCTCCCCGCTGGACACGCCTCTGCTTGTACTTCGTTCACCTCCATTTTGTGGTCGTATCACTGATTCAAACGAATTTCTCGGGGGGGGGGTATCTTCTAGCGTAGCGATAAAATGGCCAGTGACACCAGAAGTCGCTTTTAATACCAGCCTTTAGCATCCATCGCATTATAGCATTCCCTTCTGCAGTTTATTAAATTAAATACGCAGACCAAAGATTACGTTATATCAACGAACTCAGAGACATTTCATCTGATTATATTGTGTGGTTCTTGGAAAATCATTAAATGTAATTCTGGCTATATTATTGATACCAGTCTTGGATCAGATATTAGAATCTTCCACTGCGCTTGCGTTTAATCATGCGCTTTATTTAATCTCTGCATGTGTTGACTTCAGCAGCTCAGCCCTCACAGTCGCAAACTTTAGCCTCTTCTGTACAATTGATTCACAACGCGTGTAGTTGCAGTACTCGCGCACGGATAACACAAACAAAATAAAACCGTCTATGTCATTTTCATGTGCATGCTAAACTTTCATAGGAATATATTCTTGAAATATTTTAACAAAACCAAAGATACGTCTTCAATGTTTTAATTGTACTTTTTAACTATAAAGTATGTTTATTTGAATCTTTCAAGTCTCATCTGTGTTTTAATAATTAGTACATAACAGAGAAAAACAATAAAACTCTAGGCAAAAGTCGTCTTGTTGTCTGTCAGTGTTTATGAGCCTTGACTTACATCCTTGCATTATCAATATGAAACAGGAAAATAGACAATTTCGCATACTTACGGAATAAGTACGAACATATAGTGGATACCTTTATAGCCAGGTAACGTCAGATTTTGTTACCCAAAGAAGCTGCTGGGGAGGGTTTTTTTTTTACTCGCAAATCTTCAACCTTGCGTTTGCACTTAAACCCAACCAGGTACGGTGCGTTAATGAAATGAAAAAATTTAAGAAATCAAACTTCTACTTGTAAGTATTATACTCGTCAAGGTCGATACGTTTGGATGTAATGCCGAGCTCGGACGGACTCATCCACAATTTGAGTGTGAACTTTGCCTGCTGTTCTCTGCTGTTCTCTGCTGTATTTAATTGAGCCAGGTAACGGGCTATTTGCTCAATGAATGCCGCGGATGTAAGCCTACTCATCCACAGTTCGGGTTCGGACTTTGCCTGCTGTTCCCTCTTGTATGTATTTAACGCACTATTTGCTCAATGAATGCTGCCGACAAATTCATCCACAGTTCGGGTTGGGACTTTGCCCTGCTCAGCTGTTCCCTGCTGTATGTAAGCCATGTAAAGCGCTATTTGCTCAATGAATGCTGCCGACATATTCATGGTTCGGACTTTGCCCTGCTCAGCTGTTCCCTGCTGTATGTAAGCATGGAGAAACGCGCTATTTGCTCAATGAATGCCGCAGATATATGAATGCGCGGACGTACTCATCCACAGTTCAAGGGTTCGGACTTTGTGGGCTGCTGTTCCGTGCTGTATATATGTAAGCCAGGTAACAGAGTATTTGCTCAATGAATGCCACAGATGTGTGAATGCCGCAGACGTACTCATCCACAGTTTGGGTTCGGAGGCCTGCCCTTCCATGCTGTATGTGAGCCAGGTCACGCACCATTTGCTCAATGAATCGCACCCACCAGAGCAAGGATGTCTTGTCATGTAGCTTTGTGGTTAATTAGGCAGTGCAATGAGTCCACGCAGCACTTCTTCCACCCGTACGTAGGTCTCGAATTCATACGCATAAGGCAGCGTATTTTTTACTCACACCATAGCCTACCAGGGCTTTTCGCTCTGGTAGTGCTAATTCGCGCTTGAAAAAAAGAGACTAATGCTGACTGAACCAGCCTAGCAAGCGCGCAAAAACACGAAACGATGGTGCCCTTACTACAGCAAATAATTTTTTTTTTTTTAGTTCCGAAAGTTGAGAAGTGATAGACTGATGGATTGTGGCAGAATTAGGGTGATTCCTCTTCCTCTGATGGTCAAGTTATTTCTTCAGTGTGTGTGAAAAAAGTAGAATTTTAATCACCACCGTGATCGCTGGCTTGATGAGCTCGGATAGCAAAGCTCACTCAAGTGTTTTTTAGCATTATTATTTTTTTCGGGGGGAGGTAAATACAACAAGTGCATGAACATGAAGTGCGATGTGACAAACATTATGAACAATTTAGGAGGGTCTTTAATGAGGGTTGTTTTCTAGCAGATTATGGTTAATTAGGCAGAGCAATGCGTAGGCATTGCTTAGGCCTACCACGATTCCTAGCGGAGCTTTCACATGACATTTAGCATCTAAAGCTATGCAATAACAAGACGTCTTCCAATTTAGTGACATGCATTGAAACCCTTTATAATGTCTTAACAATAATTATTATGTCATATTTCCGCCTCCACGTTAAATCCAATGCGCTCGTGTACGTACTCAGCACTAGTCTCTTTTCATGCGGCACCACCACAGGAAAAATCCCACGCTATGGTGTAAATTGAAAATACGCGTTCTATATGCAGCAAGGTATGAGACGGAGAGAACCCCCCCCCCCCCGCTTTGTGTTTCTGTTGGTCATTGTCTCGCAGGAATCCCGGGAATTCCAGACTATTGTTACTTAACACATCCCCCCCCAAGATGTCTGAAAGGAATTCCCCAGATTCCTGCGAGCTAGACAATGACCAACACAAAGCAGGGGGGGGTTCTCTCCGTCTCATACCTTGCTGCATATGGTATGTCGCGTTCAGGCACACAACAGGAGGGTGCTCTAGTCTGGTTCACTGCCCAAAGATCCCCTGACGACCCGTGATAAAGAATCTTAGATAAGGCATCACCCATGGATATAAATAGATATGCCGCAAGCGTCAAAGGTCACAAATTGAAAGCCCGGATGTTTTCGATTTCATTCCTTTACGTGGTGGGTTCCAATTCAGCTGAGTGTTCCCTATAGTAATGAGGCGCACTTGAAAAATCTCAGAAAATTAAAAATCATGATTTTGAATTGTGAAATTCTTTTAGTTGATCAATTCGTGTACACCCATCAACAAGTAAGTTGTTTGTAACTTTGTTGTTATATGCCAGTGCATGATTGTTGACGGTTTAAGCCCACCTACCCGACCGGAAATAACCGAACATCAACGGTACCATCCGAACATGCAGAATGTAGACCGAACGACTTCGGAATATTTCGGCTATTTCCGGAAAACTGGAACAATTCCTCTCGTCCTGGTCACGTGACATTGGCTAATACCGGACGACCGTTGATTCGTCGTATAGTCAGAATCATCTGGTCTGGTATCCTTACTAGAGGGTGCTCGCACTACTGTAAGTTTTGCAGTGACATGTTGTACGGCGCATGTGTACAGTCGAAAAAGTTCTATCGACAGTAGCAGGCCTACTAGCCTCAGAAATAGGGCTGTACTGTCTCTCTTTTACAATCTGTCTCTTATCAGTCGCCACCACAACCCTACTTCAAGGCCTGTCTTAAATGCCTGAAATCCAAACTGCAGGATTGTTACAAACTTTGAATCCTAATTGTGATGATGTTGGGGTTTTATAAGAGACAGAACAGAGCTCACAGGCAGAGATATAACGTAGCTTGTAACAGATGCATGCCGTTTACTGTAAGTACTATCTCTAGACACAAGTGGCACGTATACACATTCCAGGTATGGTGTTAAAGCGAGGTCAAAGGTTACAATGTAAGGCTGTTCTATTACACTAATATCTTCTGAAATGAGAATGACTCGAAAATTTTAGTTACACTGGCGTATTTCTCAGTGTTTGGACTTTCATACGAACATCCTAAAGCTTTCCCAAATCGTAAATTTTCCGATGTATGGTGCCTTGAAAACCTGGCCTGTGGTACAACATGCTGACCACGGGCGGCGCCAATGTAAAAAAAGGAAACAGCGCTTCTTGCGCCAGAAGTCAAGGCGACAGACAGGTGAAGAAGATGCATAATTCATGTTCCTTTTGCTTAGTTGCGCGCGCACTTTGCTACTGTACTGTATGCCCACGGCATGCGTGTACGTACGTACGTACGTGGAGCCTGATACAGTGACATGCATATGAATATATTCAAATTTAATTTCACCGGTTCCTTGTTTGTCTGTCATGCAAGATGTGACAGGGAACCAGTTTTGTATGGTGTCGGGTGCCATGAAATCCGACGTAAAAAGCGCCGTTTTCGTTTTTTAAAATGGCGCTGCCCATGGTCAGCATGTAAATATTACAGGCCCGGGTTTCAAGGCACCATAAATCGGAGTTGGTGTAAGTAAATTTGTCGAGTCATTCTCATTTCGGGAGATATTAGGATTCAAAGTTTGTGACCATCCAGCAGTTTAGATTCCAGGCATTTAATGCCTTGAAGTAGGGGTGTGGTGGCGACAGATAAGAGACAGATTGTAAAAGAGAGCCATGCACTCTCTAGTACAGCCCTATTTGTATTTGTGGGGCTCATAGGCGTAGCGCCTACATGCAGTAGGCCACGTGATTGGAAATCAGTTAGTATAGATTTTTAGTTCAGAAAATTATCAGAAGGGCCAATGAAGTCACGTTAGTTCACCTTTGACATTGGGAGAAGCCGATAGGGGACTTTGAAGGTATTTTGTTGAGTCTTTGCTGTCGTTAAGCCTTATCGCAAGTACTGCATACATTGCTCCTTTTTCCTTCCCACAATACCTTTCTACCATTGTGCAAAATCACCCAAGCAGTATTTGCGATAAGGCTTTTGGGGGTAGTGGTGGTGTGTGGCAATATAAATTTCCTGGAGCACAACAGCAGGGCCCGTCACCATAGACTAGAGCAAGGAAACAGTCCAACATTGTGGGATTAGAGCACCCCAATATTGGTCTATGTTTCCTTCCTCCATTCTAGGTCAAAGTCAACATTAACAAATCCGGCCAACTTTGTATGTGCATTTTCATTTCAGATCGACCCTGTAGTTTTTGGCTCCAAATGAAAGAAAAATTAAACCTCTTTTAGCCCCCTACTCCGCTATGAAAGCCCTAGAGTGCCATCAAGTATGTATTTTCAAAAAGCGAAGTATATTTTTTCCGAACTTTGTTTGTTGGGGACATAATATTTTTCAGTTCGTTCTTTTGAGATCTATATTCATAAACATTGGTTATATTTTGAGAAACAAGCTCTTTTTACGAGATTTTTATGAGATATAATATTTAAAGGTTTGAATTCATTTCTCCCAAAAACAAACTTCCAAAAATATATTTCATAATAACGAACTAAAAAGTCTCCTGAAATGAACTTGAAAATATATATATCGTTTAAAATATATATTTTTAATGATTAGTTTAAAAACAAAAATAATGTTTCAAAATTATAGATCTCATAAAAACGAAATGGAGAGTAAGTATCTCCAACAAACGAACTTAGGAAAAAAATCATGTAAAAATGAATTCGAAAACAATACTTCATAAAAACAATCTTGGAAAAATTATTCTTCACTTTTGGAAAATATATACTTGATGTCACAACAGGGCTTCCGTACACCGCCGCCCTCGCAGTGTCTGCACTTCTATGACCAAGAAAAAAGTTCCAGAAAATGGACACTCTTTCCGACTTTGTGGAAGTGAATGCGGGCATACGTCTGTAATTATATAAAATGCTCTGTGATTATGGAGTGTAGGGATTTTTCAAATATTTTTTTATTATTATTGTAATGAGAATATTATTTGAAAGGGTCGGTTGGAATTGAGTATAGGCCTAAGTGTATGATTTGATTGTCACTGATCAATTGACAAACGGTGAAGTTGTAGGGTATATTTCACTGCAATTTTTCCCTCACTATGGTTAAAAATAATGCCTATAAATTAAACTGTGACGGTGAGCTCGTTAATGAGAGAAATGGCATATTTAACGACGGGAAAATAGTTGCAAACTGAAAAAAAGACTTTCCATGGGTACGTAAATCGAGGACTGTGGTGCGAACTTGTAGAGTGGAAAGCGTAAGGGAAGGGTAGGGAAATGACCACTGGATATGTTCGGATATTGGCAGGGAAACGGGCCGGGTTCCATACTATTTCTGGTGATATTTCCACGTGCAGAAACCTATATTTTTGCACTATGCGGTTGCAGTAAAAACTGCATTGCATAGACTCTTATGTAGCTATTGCGTTTGTGATTTCCACAGCGTGACATAGTACCTGTCAACCACTTTCCGTCATGCCACTAAAAACAACTGTCATTGGTAGCTACCCGAAGCCGGACTATCTTGATGTACCTTCGTGGTTTGAGATCAAAGATCACACTCAATTGTTGACCACATATGGAAAGTTCCTGGAGGAAAAGAATGCTTCTGTGGGTAAGAGAAAGTGG